CATTTACCTTTTGCGAGAAGGCCAGTAATCATGAAATTTGAAACTTCCTGGAAAATGGATCTCCATGAGAGTAGTCAATGACTCTCCTACGGTCTCCGTCTTTGTACCATCCTTCTTTCGGATTAAACCAAGTCTTGAGACCGGGTCTTTGGTGACCATCTTTTGTAACCGATTTACTTCAGAGGTCCCCTTAATGCTCGAACAGAAATCCCGCCACGACTCCCATTTCCGGTTGCGTAGTGCTTTCTTAAATTCACGCTTTTAGGCTTTGTACAGATCCCATGATACGGAGTTCTTCTCCCTCATGTATTTATTAAAGGCTTTCCTTGTCTCCTTTTTTATTACATCAAGGTCCTGACTCCACCAGGGTGTCGACGACTTTTCTGCAATGCTGGTTTGAAGACAAGCGTTTTCGAATACATTAATCATCGCAGCAGTAATTGCTTTGACTTCTGCCTCTACATTCCATGTGGTCTTGAGTTTCCTTAGCGGCATGTTTTGTAATAATTCTTTCAACAACGTCAAGTACGTTACCTGATCCGTATTCTCAGGAATTCTTACTACGTTTTGGATGACAGAGTATTTCAAAATGTATAGCCCGATTCGACATTGTTAGTCTGTCAGCGACCCTCCATTTCTTAATTTTCTGCGTCATTGCACCTGAGCACAGGGTTAAGCCAATACCTTCTGACCTATGTGCTTCAACGAAGGTAGGCTTTAACCTCCTGTTTACAATCATCAGATTGTATTTTTCAACAAACTCGAGGACAGATTTCCCTCTGTTGTTACTGTCGCTGCTTTCCCACACAATATTGTGTGCCTTCGCATCGCATCCTATGACAATTTCTAGCCTTTTCGTCCTACAATATTCCATCAGTCTGATAACCTCCTGACCAGGAGGCAGCTCAGCAGAGTCATATGGGAGAAAGGTTGGCGCCACGATAAAGGTGTTTGCATCACTCCTTACTCTTACCGTAGTAAGATCTGGTGAGCATAGATGAGGCAATTGGGTGCAGTGTATCCCCTTTCTCACCATAATGCATGTCCTTATTTTCCAGCTGTCTGTGGAAAGAACAGCGTGGCAACTGATATACCGATTCCCTTAATAGCGTTTTGAACAATCCAGGGCTCTTGAATCAGTAGTATGTCCAACTTTTCTTCGTCAAAGTGTCGTAGGATCATTGCTGATGCTGCTTTACTGTGATGAATATTCAGTTGTTCAAACTTTATGGTTTTCTGGTATGGACCCACCAACCGCCCTAACGGTCTACATAAACCCGTTAGCCCCATACCAGAGGCGTAGTCTTGCTCGTCGTGCATCCCTTTAGAATTTCACTTTGGTCTGATCTAGACCGCAGTTGAACCTGCCCCCTGCGGTCTTAATCGCCTCAGCGTCTACTTTGGGGCACCACACTGTGAGCATGACACCAGCACTGCTTGCTTAGTCAAACTTGCTGAAGTTAGTAACCTTTCTCTTCGAAGCGTCCTTATCACAGCTGTTTTGCTTCTGCAGCCTGCTAAGAATACTTTCCTTGCCTACGGTAGAGTCGCAGACAAAAGTAAGTATTCTCCTTTCGTTGCGCAACGCTGTTAGCGCATCAGCCGTCAGCTTGGCTTCAGGCCAAAGGCCTTCCAACTTAGTTACCATGCTGATTAGCCATGCCTTTGATTGTTGTTTCTTACACTTAATGGTAATGTACCCATCCTCAAGGCGAGCGTTGCCAACAAACCCTATGTCACCAATTCCACCATCTAGGGACTCCACGGCGTTCAACAAAGATGCTTTAAAAGCAACTAAGTGTTTCTCGCCAAGAGGTCTTTCGACTCTTGAATCGATGATACCCATATTGAGATCCGTCTGAGCGAAATGGGCATACGACCTCTTACGGGCAGGGCGATCTTTTGCATCTCCTACTGCCCGCTTGCCGTAATTCCGCGCATTGGTGGAATCTTTGACTGTCGATTCAGCTTAGTTGACATCCTCTACTGGTTGTCGACCACCTGAGTTGCCGCCTGTGATTCTAGCTGAAGGAGTTGAGCTTGCTGTCGGAGCTTCAGGGCATTCGCCCTTATGCCTTTTTGCTAGCTGTTCTTCCTCAAGCGATGACTCCACATACGACAGTCCGCTGTGTCGATCGGCTAGTTGATCAACCGATCTTGTGGCTTTTGCAGCCTTTTGCCTCTCTCTTCTTCGCTTCTGCTTTTCCCTCTTGTTCAGACGGATATGCTCAGCTAAGTCGAGATCAGTCGTTGTCATATTTCCAACTGTTTTGGTTAATGGCTCAGCCTCTTGCGGATCCTCTTCGTCCACCATTTTGTTGGTCTCATGACTCTCATGCGTTGTGGTATTTGAAGCTAAGGTTATCAACTCGGCCTGTGAGGCCTCATTGTCCGCCTTATCATCATCAACCATTTTGCCTTGTGTTGATAAAGTTAAAATTTGATTGTTAATTTTGATTCCCACGAGTTGCGAAGAAAAAGATATTTAAAACAGGAGGTCGCCAGATATTCAGAGTCCGCTACTAAGACTGCTTCTATCCCAGCAGCCAAGCTAAAGGCGTAGCTGTTCCACCTTAGTTTGGGGGGTTTTATTCTAATACACACATTCTATTCATTCACACATTCATTCAATCATTCTCTCTGTTCATTCACTAAAAGGGTGTATTCCTTCACCTTCGCCCGACTATCTGCGTCAAGCGATAAGCAGAGACATGACCGGACTTATCGCTTCACAGTTGACCTGAAATATCTTGGCATTGTTTTTTTCTCCGCAACATAATTTTATCCCCCACGTTGATTGCGCCATCCGTAACGTCTGGTTCATACATATTCAGTTTACAAACGCACTCCGAAGACACAACCAGCTTAGCTGCAAAGTTATGCTGTTCTGCTATAAGCAACTTATTTGCCCCCTACCCATCTACACCTTCCCCATTTGGTCTGTAATCTCTTCCGCCCAAATGGAAAGAATCCGCCTGTTTGAGCGGAAACTTCTTCGAGATTGCAGTCTGACGGCAAGCACTTCTCCATCTCTGTCCTTTACGACAATGCCAAGATCACTCGCATTGACGAGTACCTTTTGACTCTCGTTCGTAGGACATCACGCAGCCCCAGGACCTCCCCCTGATATCTCTATTATATCAGTATATCAGTATCTATTATTAATATCTCTCTATTACCCTCCCTAAAGATCTTGTTCTAGCCTTGCGTTTTAAACCTTCCCAATACCTGTCCCACTACCTCGATGAGTGGTACCATAACCTCCACTCCATTCCCCTATATTACCGCGGATTTCGTGAACCCAGTCACAAAGTTTACCGCTAACCTTACCCCCGCTGATCTGCTCTAACCCCACCCCTTCTCTTTAACTCAGTTTCCCTAATATACGCCCTTGCTTTCTGGCTTAGATAAATTTAGCTCGCTAGCTACTAAGTTTTCTTTTTCTCCTCTCTCCCTTGATTACTGGAATGAAGTTTTCACAATGCTGTGGAAATCTTCTCCATTCCTTCCTAAGATTAGATTTAGTGGGTTCAAGTCTTATACGGTGCCTTCGATGCTTCTACCTACTGTCAAAAAAAAAATAGCACGTTTTCCAGTTCACTTATTTTGCTACCACTAATGAAATGCAGGGCATTTCGCTTGTCCTATATCAGAAAACTTGCTTCCTTTATATAAAAAAGTAGAGAAGAAATTGAGAATAAATAATTGTCACCATATTACAAATTAAAAAAAATTATTTTGCATGACAGAGAAAACTTGACAAACGCAATCAATAGTAGATTAATGTACAACGATTATAACAATACATACAACATATCATTATATCATGATTGATTGATTACAATAATGCGAACATTCACTCAAATATCAATGAATATGTAACTTCTCTAAGAGAAGCTCTATCTTCAGAACTAATTAAACAGAAACTCCTTAAATTCAAAAGTAGGTCAAATGTTTCATGTACTTATTTATAAGTAAAAAAAATTATAAGTTTAGTTTTAGTTTAGAAATTACAAACTTTGACTATCCTGTATTTATAAATTCGATAACTGATATTAAAAACATAACTAAACTTGTCATATTAGTCTTATTTGTAATCATCACATATTAACATACTGTTGTAGCAGCACTGTGGCAGCACTTCTCCAACGAACTGACAGAATATGTCAAAAGAGAAAAACAGATGGTCGGTAAAATTGGCGCAAGTAATATAATAATATAATATATTATATATTACTTGCGCCAATATAATAAATATTTTATATTATAGCAATAAATTTAATACATATGACAAAATTTTTATATTGTCCAAATATTTCTTTGTTTTGAATTTGTTGCTATATTTTAAAAATTTGTATTTTATCAGATCCGTTAAGTATCGCTGATAATAAAATATTTTTTTTTAAACAAATGTAAAAAGTAGTGTATATATAACATTAACCAATTCAAATATATAAAATATATCGAAATATACTCAATATATTATCATATATTATATTTAATGTATTATCATTTTAAAATTTCAGTACATAAATGGTACAAATAATAATAATAATTTCATGGTAAAAAAGTGTGATCTTGTAATAAGTAAAATTATATAGTGTGGGGAATAAAAGTTTTTTAATAAAAAAGTAATTTTTTTGCTATAACGACATTGCATTGGTTAATATTTGATTGCACCCAATGTGAATGCTCATGTAATTAAAAATATATTTTAGGATGCATTTATATAAAATCTTATATATTTTTATTCCTTGATACAGTCATATAAATTCGTCCTTTTCACTCCAGGTATAATTGCTCCTGTGTATTCAAGCCTTTGTGTATATACCCCGCTTAAACATTATCTTTATTTTTATGTAAACATACATGAAAACATAATTTATAACAAGGGAAAAAGGAGCGGTTCTAGGTTTTAATATTAGAATGTATTAAAGCTATATATAATCATAATATTTTGTGTTTAAAATTTATGTCTAAATCTGTTTTTGTAGTTTATTAAAAATATACGAAATAAATTACAAAAATAGTAAAAGTGATTTATATAAAACCTGACAGAGGGAGATTGTTCTTACACATTATTATAAATTTAAAACGGAAATGTATAATATTAATATTCCTACTATGATTCATCTAATGAATGATGTGCAGATTAATTAAAATGAACACGTTTAATATAATGTATCAAACTTAAAAACTTACCCTGCAGTGGTGGCAATATTGCAGCAAATTCAGTAAGTAATTTATAAGTCAGTGTTAAGAAAATTAATGATGATTTTAAAAACTATTTTCAGATTGACACTTGAATTAAATACTAGTTTCAATTTTTTTATTCTCAAATGAAGTACATCAAGCATATTACATTTTTAGTACATCCTATGGCTACTATGTGTTATATATTTTGTTACATATAATTCTAAATATGAATTGTATGTATTTTATATTATAATTTGGACTTATAACAGAATATGTTATTTATCATGTTCTACACAAATCATTTCAATGTTCAAAAATATGAATACTACACATGAAGTAGTAGTAAGAGTCCTAATACGCCCTATAACTCAATTAAAGATATTGTTATCGCTAGTCTCAAAACCAAGATTACTTTTTCTTACAAAATATGTGAGAACATAAAATAATAAGAAAATTATGTTATTAGGGAGTTATTACACAAAGCACATAATTAAAAAACTTGTTTAAAAATAACATATAAATATATAATAAGGAGGTATTCTTTCACGTACTGAAAGTTAAAACATAAAAATAATAATGATTTTATCAATGCAACTTACTTGGTCACATGCAAATTATAATAACGCAAAAATGTTGTGATGTTGGGCATTACTGCCGTGAATATGTAATAAACAGTGAGCTTGTTAATTTACGGCAAAAGTAAAGATTTTCAATAATGACGAGTTTATCAACTAAAAAGGATTAAATAGCTACATATATAGACTAGTTAGAAAGAAAAGCAAAAACTCATCGGCTGGTGCCATAAAGGAAGTAAACTACTCAATTCGCAGCAGTTGAAATAAGGAAAGTAAACTATAAAATCTAATATTCTAACTTATTGATTTGATAAGGTAAATATTAATTAATATTATAAAAATGCTGCTATAATATAAAATAATTTTTTCCACACTTGCTCTTTAAAACTTTATTGTATTCAATTTTCTATTTTATCTACTGTTATTTTAAAATTATATATATTTTGTGTACTAGGATAATAAAGTCAAGAACCAGTGTTTAAAACAATAGTGTTTACTTGATAATAAAACACTGCATTAGTGTCTTTAAGTCACGCTTATTCTCTCGAATACAGTTTATTCTAAATAAATTAAAACAAAGTCTTGAACGATGTACCATAACTTTTTTTAGTATTATAACTGTACATCTTATCTTATATATCATATATCTATGTAGAACTTCAGCCGTTATCAAGTCAAATCCAGGAGATTTTTTAAGTTTCATTTTTAAAATTTGTGCACTCACTTCTTCCGTAGTGACTAGAACAATTGCAGTGTCGCTATATAAAGAAGATACGACCAGCGGCTGATTAAAAGTTTCCACGGAAACAGAAGTAGCTTGAAATTCAATCGTGCTAAATTGTTCTAGTAAGTATGTTTTATCGAGTTTCTAATTATGACAGCGCTACCACCCCTAGCACAATTATCAGGATGTATGGCTTGGTATAGAGTATAGTTTTTAAATGTTATATATGCGATTGCTTAGTAAAATGAGTTTCAGCGATTAGACCGATATCAATGTTTTCGCTATTTAATACGACCTCGAGTTCATTTTTATGTTTTGTTGAGCCATTCGCATTCCATAAGAATAGTTTCAAACGATTATTCATAGTCTAAAAATTTCATATTGTGCTCTAGCGCGCTCAGACGTTGTTCAAGGGTTCTAAATACCTCTTCTTGTAGATTAAATTTTGTTAAGATAATTGACATATTGAAATTCAAAACAATGTTTTTGTGAATGCTTTTTGTGTTTTATGTACCACCCTACTATTGTGATTACATTTTGTATTCTCGACTGAACTCTTTAAAGATTTTATGTTTGATGAATTAAATAAGTCTTCTATACAAGTAATGTAATAATACTATAGGTAAGATTATCTGCTTTAGGTATTGGCATGCTATTTAGATTACCAGGCTGCTAGAAGTATTGAGGGTGAAGATGAAATGACAGCATTTTTGTTCAATAATTTTACATTCCATTGGTTATATATTTTTCTAATAAAAGTATATGAGCTTTAAGTTGCCTTGAGGCTTCGCAAAGATTTTCGTGACGACATAAAATTACTATGTCATCGGCAAATGTAGAAGTAACGACAATTACTTGTAGCAATATCTGAAGTAAACAGAACGTATAGAAATGAATCAAGCACACTACCTTTGAAAGCGCCACCATTAATATACGAGAACGAAGAAATATATGCTTTGAGTATCAGATTGAGGAACATTTTTTGAAAAAAGAACTCTAGCTCTGGTTTATGAATGCTTTTATAAATGATGTGATGTTTTCATGTTTTTTTTCTCATCGTGTTTTATTCAAAGAAGTGATTTTCCAATATTTCATGTTACAATTTTAAATTTGTTTAATTCAAAATTTACTTTAAAAAAAAAATAGCAACAAAAGTTGTGATTAGTTTCTCATTAATTATATTTAATATAAAAAAGGACCAACACAGCTTTTTCAATACCAAATTAGGCGTTCTGGAATTGCTGGGCCTGAGAATAATTTCAAAATTTGGCTAACTTTGCACTTTTGCTTTACTATCAACTTTTACCTTCGCACTTATTTTTAAATGCCACGAATAAATAACAATTAGCTATAATTGTTGTGACTTTTATATAAATTAAATATTATAAAAAATTAAAGATCAGAATAATTTTGAATAGTTAAATTCACTACAAAATTTTCTTGTATGTTCTGCTTTTTATTTTAAAGCACAAAATAATTCTTACTCTTACCTTTATGAAAAACTCAAAAATAACTATTATTTTTTTCGGCAAAAATAAAAAGCATTAAAACTAATTTTTTCAACACAAAAATAACTCTCTGAAGGAACAGAGCAAAAAAACACACTGTTTGCATTTCCATTGTTGAAAATGTTTGTAATAAATATTTTCGATCTCTTGTTAACTAATATACTTTCAATATGAATAAATAAAATTGATATTAATTTAAAAATTTCATTACAGATTAATGTATGATGGAGACCGTAATATCAGAAGGAGTGTCAGACATGACATCATTTGTAGAGATTGATGAAATTGGAATAAACAAAAATCTTAAAATACGATATGACAATGATATAATATATGTATCCTTTTGGTTTATAATTAAATAGTAATAAATTAATTGGTTATAATTATATTAATATGGGAAGTAAAATAAATAGTTTACTTCTCTGTTTTTACTGCACAATACAAATTTATTTAAAAATATCTGACATTTCAGTCTAAATATATTAGCTAATCAAAATTTGTACAGAACTTTTTTAGTTTTAACTTGTAAAATTGCGGTATAGTTTACGAATGTCCGAAATTGTTGCACATATCTAGTAACATATAAAATCCTACCAAATCGGTTGATATTACTGTTGTGAAAAGATAAAATAAAATAGGTCTGTCCAGACTACTTACTGTATAGATAAGAAGGCTGCAAAAAAAAAAAAAATATACGTTCGTAGTTATTTTCGACAAAAATAAAAACACGGTTATAATGTTATATTTAGTTTTCTTAATTTATCCTTTATTCATTTATTTGTTATACCATAAAATTAATACAATGTGGTTTTACTAGTACTCCAAAAGAAAACTTGCGTAATTGTTGCAAATTAAAATCATGTTGCGGGTCGCATAAACATCCGCGTGCCGCTTGTAACCTGCGGGTCGTGCGTTGGACAGTCCAGTTTTAAAACATTAAAGTACACTATTCTATTAATAAAAAATATCATAAAAATATGCAAAAACTAAACATATTAGCTAGTGATTAACCATTTCCGAAATTACATTTACATATCTTTAAATATGTGTCATCCATATAAATGTACTTATTAATATATTGTGTTATGTTTTTGTTATTTATATAAAGTAATTTTGTATCAAATCCCATTGGTCAATACTGTATATTTAAAAATGTGCATTTCACCAACTATTTATCCTTAACCAATTGTTTAGACTTATACCGGATCTATTTTAGTTACAGTAAATCCTTACAAAAAGCTCGAAATATTTAACAAGGTAAATAAAATTTTTAATTTTTAAAATCGATTATTTTATTTTTTTATTTTTTAGTTTTCCTGCATTATAAAAGCATATATGTATTGCTCTTGAAGCTTCTTAGGGTGCATACAAGTATTGAGCGGCTGAGAGCGGCTAACCAACTAAGCGAATAATTAAAACAGTGGTTAGCTTAACAGTGGTTAAGCGATTGTTTAATTTTTGATTTAATTGTAAAAATTGCTTTGCGGCCATTCAATTTAACTTGTTTATTGAAAGCTTAAATCCTGTTCAAAATATCAAACTCTTCCAAAGAAAATATGAGGATCATCCAATAAACAAAAACAGAGAATGTTTTGGTAAATATCATCATCTGTATAGTATACTCTACAATACCTATTCTAGAGATTGTTTGATTATTCACCAAAAATCTTAAAATTTCCTATAACTTATAAGTCCCTATATATGAACTTATAATTCCAAAGCACTAAAGAATGAAAATATAAACTAAATTAACTTTAATGAAATTTTTTTGGCAATCATAACATTAGAACAACATTCATTAAAATATATTATGAAAATCCTCAATAATAATCATATATCTCTGCAATCCGGATTTTTCCGCTCAGCCGCTAATTAAATATTTAAATCAAATATACTCATGAACGAAATCGCTTGCCCGTTCATTATTTTGTTCAACGCGTACGTAAACGCTCAGTTAGACGGTAACGTAAGAAATTAATTCAAAGCGAAATACGCATGTTTGGTTGGTTTTGCATTTCGCTTCAAATTAATTTCTTACGTTACCTACCGTCTAACTGAGCCTTAACCATGTCAATGTATCGCTTAGCTGTTTAGCCGTTCAATGCTTATTGCACCGCTATATTTAAATAAAAGTTAGTGCTAAAAATCATATCTACTGTTTTTGAACACTAATGCTAGAATTGTCGGAACGAGTAAAGCAGCAAGAGTAACAATTTTAAAAGTATTTAGGTCTAGTTTGTTCACTCAAATATATACATTTTTAGTAATTCCAAAAGTGGCAAAAATGTTACATTCTAGAACCTTTTCATTACTTTAAAGTTATAGCAGCAAAATTTGTGAATCAAAATTATGCTAATAAGTTTAATAAAAATTTTCTTTCTAATATTTTGTATATAAAAGTAATAAAAAAAGAGGTAAAAATTATCAGAAACATACTTTTACTTCTTTTCAAACAACCATCTGTATCATATTTTAATAAAATAATAATTTTTAAAATGTAATTATTTAATTATTTATTTTACTTGAAAATGATTTTAAAATAGATTTCAGTATTAATAAACTAAAAATATGTAATTACTGTTTATTTACTTTGAATTTGCTCTAAAAAATTATCTGTTTTAATAATTAATCAATTAATCATAAACAAATCAAACTTACACTTTGTTGTGATATCTGTAAAACTCGTTTTGAAAGTTAATATAAAAAATTCAGCAGTTTTGCCATATTACTAGTACCATTTTTTTGTATTAGCACCGTTATGTATACAAATAAAAATGGTCTTAATAAGTATATACCGAGATACAAATTAATAATAAATAAAAATATAATCAGCCAAATATTTAATTAATTAAAATAATATAAAAAAATAAAATTTTTGTTGTTGTAGTTCACTACTGTTCGAAAAAATCTCTTCATAAAAATATCTTAAAAAGAAATTAATTCATATATCATTTTTTTTTTATAAGGAACATGTATTGAAATACTACGGACAAAAAATGGGAGTTATGGAACCTCATGTGTTTGCAATAGCTGAAGCAGCATACAGAAACATAGTAGAAGATGACGTTAGTCAGGTAACATAATATTCATTTTAAATAGAATTTTGGGACCTTTTTTATTTAATTGTATTCTTATTTGTTTTTAGTCTTGCGTTATTTCGGGAGAATCGGGTGCGGGCAAAACTGAAACTACAAAGTTTATTCTTCAATATTTATGTGCTGTAACTTCAAATATTTCAACGTGGATACAACAACAAATTCTAGAAGCCAATATAATATTGGAAGCATTTGGTAAGCTAAGACAATTATTGTTGAAATAAAACATTGACATTAACTACAAAATATATGTAACTACAATACTGTAAAATTATATTAAATCTTGGATCTCTTGTTATCTATTCATTTATTCAATATTTTATTTATTTATATGCCATAATATTCTAATGGAATTTTCGATAGATCCTACAATTGTGTATTCATAAATCCATATCTGTATTTAATAATGACTTATTTTTGAAATAATTTTAATTTATTTTTTTATTTGATTACAGGAAATGCAAAAACTGTAAGAAATGATAACAGTTCGAGGTTTGGAAAGTTTATGAGAGTATGCTTTGATTCAAAACATTCCATAAAAGGGTGTATCATTCAGGATTATTTATTAGAACAATCACGAATAACTTTTCAAACTCCTGGAGAGCGAAATTATCACGTCTTCTATCAACTAGTAGCACATGGTGAAATAAATCAAGAAATAGCAAAGACTTTCTACTTAAAAGAGGCGCCTTTTTATCAATATTTAAATACTTCTGAAAATACAAATATTGACTTAGATCCAGAAGCTAAAAAATTTGAAGCTCTAAAAATGGCATTTACTGTGTTACAAATATCGCAATCATCAATTGATGGAATTTTTAAAGTTTTAAGCGCAATATTATGGCTGGGTAATCTTAGTTTCTTAGATATTGATGGTGAACGCTGCGAACTTCTACCTGCAGATGAAGAAATATGCTGTACTGTATCAAAACTATTAGAATTAGATTTTAAAGATTTAACGCAAGTTTTATTACGTCGGCAAATTAACGTTCGTGGAAATATAACAGAAATTCCTTTAAAACTGCAAGAGGTTAGTTATTATTATTAAGATTTAATTTTTTTATACTAATATACTGCTTCTGATATATATATTGTTATATTTATACTACAAACATAAATTTGTTGTAGTAAATATTTGGAATAGTAATTATCATAATACATAGGATCACCTTAAATAATTTATAACTGACTTCAGACTATTTCTAAATTTTGGTAATATTGTGTTCACATTTCACCTAATGATGACATATTTTAATCATTATAAAAGTGCTGAAGCATTTGGTCCTCAGGTTTTTGCATAAAACTTTATACGTGATATAATAAAAAAGTAATTGCTAAATCCTCCAAACGCAACAGTTTTGAGTTGCTCCAAAAAAGACTACATTGTAGAAAGAAGTAGTTCGGAAAGTGAAAGATATCTGTATTACAGTGGATAAAAATAAAATGAAAAACAAACTCAAAGCATAGACTTACAAGTTCCAAAAACAGCATGATTTAACTGATGTTGACATAAATTAATGTTGAATATCGTCCGCATCTTCATTAAAAAAGAGCACAGTCTGATTAATCTATAGGCCTTGGGACTAGCGTGTGAAGAAAGGCACTTCAGGAACTTTAAATCCCTTTGAATTTGTGTTTTATCTGCGGCCTAGTTTGTAGTAGGTTTAACTTTAGGTAGGTCGAGAACTTTCCTTCTATTTGAGGTAGCATGTTTGAGGTAGGATGTCTTTCCAGCTGCATCTAGTGCGTGCGCGCCGTTTCCAGTCTCGTACTTCAAGTCTGGCTAGTGCTGCCTCATCTTGATTACTCCACCGGAGACATGGTCTTTCTTTGTCGCAGTGTTAATATCTAGTCAATGGCGGTTCCAAATTCTAGGTCCCAAATTCGCACTGATTAGGCCCAATCAATCAGTTGGCATGTGGCTTTAACCTTTCACATAGTACTATTAAAAGGACCTTGTATGCGGCAAGTATTAGTCTGATCCTGTGATGGTTGCCGCAAATCTTCCAAGAGCATTTTTCCGAAGATGGAATTGAAGTTATCATGGCCAGATAGTAGTTTAGATGAATGTTCCTTTCATACTTTTAGTACACTCTGTGTATTTGTAACCAGATTGTCATTTTCGTGCTTACGGGTTGATGCCCCAGGCTTAAAGCCTTGACTGAGACGGTTGACTTTTTGAAAGAATTTACGGACATCATTCCTTATTCCTTGTTTTTTCCGTCTTAATAGGCGCCTCTATACCTTCCTCATCTCTTGATATTGTTCATGGACGGTTCGCGTAGCTTCTAACTGCAGAGTCCTTTTATGGACCGAGTTCTTCGCAGCAGTAACTTAGTGACACTTCTTGTTGTACCATTGCTTTCGTTGCGGGGACTTTGGAAATCAAGGAGATCTTCCGCAAGTTGTACTTAGGGAGTGAGAGATATGTTCTCATTGTCTACCGGTATTATGGGGACGGGAGCGTTAGCTGTTGAGCGAAGAAGCCTTCGGCTGTCTCTCGTGATACCAGCTTACCGGCTTTAAGTTTTTTCTATGCACAGGGAGAGTCGATATTTGTACCACGGAATGAACATACGTCCAGCACACTTGAAACGTGCCCTGCGTCAGTCATGAAGTGATCAATTTGGTTTCGTGTTGATTGATCGGGAGATAGTCAGGTTGCCTTGTTAATATCGCTGTGTGGGAATCTGTTTATACTTATTACCAAGTTTCATGAAGGCTAAATTTTCCGACTGTTACATTAAAAACCCCGAGAATAATTTTAACGTCGTGGGTGGACTGTGGTCATAAATTTCCTCGAGTGTCGCGTAGAATGTATCTTTAGTCAAATCGTAGTTATCTTCTGTAGGCGCCTGAGCACAAATTGGGATGATGTTGAAAAATGTTCCCTTGATACGGATTGTAGCAAGCCTTATGTTCACGGTGTGAACCACTGAACTGATTTTGACAGTCTCTTGCTAACCACAAAACTCATCCAAATTCATGCCTATTCGCATGGCAGCTGTAGTAGATATCACTGTTTGCTCTTTCAAAGCAACCTTGTCCTGTTCATCGTATTTTCTGGATGGCAGTGACGTCAGCCCTACATTTATTAAGAACTTTCGCCAGTTGCATAAAGGCACCTTCCCTATAGAGGGTCTGGACATTCCAGGTGCATATGCGTAAATCATTCTCCTATAAGCGTTAGCATTGGTCGTCAACGTTAATCGGTTTCTAGTTCCGAAGCATGTTTGCGTCTTTCATTGGGGGCTGATTTTACGTGACGAGTGCCACACCCATTAATCGGGTTCCAGTTCCGAAGCATGTTTGCGTCCTTCAATGGCAGCTGATATCACGGGACGAGTGCCAAACGCTATGCAAAACCCAAATTAAAAGTCCTGTGGATAGGACTCGCTATACGCAGTATTAGTTCATTATTCAGCGGGTGCCAGGTAAATATTCAGAGATGCCATGTGGAGGCTGTGTGCCAACTTCGATTGAATACGACAAGGATTGCGCTGGCGTTTTCTATGTTTAATGCAACCAGGTTTGTTCAACACACATATTAATAATTACCAAATAACATTCGTCGTGATCATGAGTCATGTGTGTTGAGACAATCCAGAGATCCTTGGTATCGTACTCGATGGCCATGGCTACACTGAACTTAATAAGTAAAACAGCATTAATATTGTTTTTTTTTTACTAGAATACAGGATCCGGTTTAACCTTGACCTTTAAGTTGAGCATTAACTTGATGGAGTTGTTTTTTGTATTTTTGGTTGTATTTTGGTTGTAAGGGTCCGCACTCAAAGCTGTTATTGTTTCCGTACGTGTAGTCGCTGTAAAAAGGTCCCATGGTTATGTATACAAGTGCAGAGAAGTTATGCGAAGGTTGGCACAAGTCCTTGTGGAAACAAGTGCTCAGAACCAGACCAGTGTTAATTGGGAAACAAACTTCCACCGAACTTCCACGTGAAAACTTCATGAACTCACATTACACTCTCTTTCCTGTCTTATGTATAAGTAACCGGTTTTCAAGTTGATGTACGTGTTACGTTCCTGATAGTGTAAATTGGCCCATTAGTTCGATTGAATTGACACTGAAAATAATTGTACTAATTTTTTAAAAATAGAAATACATTTAAATTAATAAATAATCTAATATATTTAAGTTATATTTTTTGTCTATTTATCTTAGGCATGCGAGAACCGACACTCTATGGCAAAAGCATTGTACTCAAAAACATTTTCATGGCTTGTAAATCAAATAAATAGTTGTATAAATCCTGGACAAGATAAGAAACAATTTCTAGGAATTTTGGATATATTTGGATTTGAAAACTTTTTAAAAAACTCCTTTGAACAACTTTGCATTAACTACACAAATGAAAAACTACATAAATTCTTTAATCATTATGTTTTCGACTTAGAACAACAAATAGTAAGTAAAAAACTTTTTATAATGTTTGTTTATGTTTACATTTTGGCTGATATTTAGTTCATATTTACATTTTGCTTCCTGTGTCAAATATGTCAAATTCCGATCATTTGCAATGTTGCATTCAATATTTTTGGTCTTATTTTGCTTACTTTATTTTCAAGTAAGTTAAAAGGCATGAAAGCTCTTTGTATGGAATTTACTTACCAATCTCAAGTAAGTTAACTGGTCTAACGAAGCCAGTGGAAATGTACAGCAACTTTTCTTTTGAAACTGATAACTTTACATATGGACAAAATCATGGTCATAGAAATGTAAAAATAAATAAATGTTACTAAATAATATTTTATTTTTTATAATTTACTAAATAAAAATAAATTTTGTATGCTATAGTAAAAAATACAAAATCTATAAGCTATTATGAAAAAAGTAATATTGAGCGTCATCATGCTCGCACTGCAGTGTAGTATTATTTTTATTATTAAAGGAACAAAAAAAATAATAAGTCGTTTACGTCTCAATTTAACTGAAGTTAAAAATTAGACGTTGCCATTTATAAAAACTGAAATCCGATGCAAAACGTAAAAATCGTATTAATGCTTCTAAATGTATGAACCATTTAAGTACAGAAGCAATTGAAAACAATTAAAAGAATATATAAAAAAATTATATAAAGAAAACTGTTAAAAAAAGAATGAATGTTTCTTCTAAAGAATGTTAAAAGCACATAAAAATTAGGAGTATTCACACTGTCTTGCAAAGTCATTGCAAAGTGCATGAAATGCAAAAATGCTAAACTAAAATTGGAAGAGTGCGAGAACACCTCTCTTGCAGATTTACAACATCAAAATGAAGCAGCTGGTTTTGCAGCATAATGCATCCACATGAGAAAAAGGCAGAGAAGATGTCAAAACAGCTGTATTTTTTTCTTTTTTGTTTCGCTGCAAGCATATATATATTTTAGCTATAGGTTTAGCTATAGCGAAATTGCAAGCAATTGCAAGAAACTTTGGGCGTATGTTTTGTTGTTGCTCATTGCAAGCGTTCTCAAGTTTAAATAGTAACATTGCGACGCTTTTAAAATGAATGAAAAGTCATACAATTTTGTTTATCATACAATTTACCAACTATATTCTGCTGAAAAATATTTATGTGCATATCAGATCGTCAGTGCGAATATACACAGCTCATAGAATTACTCGTTTCATAAGAATATAATGTCTTACATTATTTAAGTATTTTTCATTCTTTATTTTATTTAATTATATTTATTTATTGATTTATATTTATTTTATTGATTTATATTTATTATATTTATTCATTTAGTACAAGCAGGAGGAAATTTCGTATACATATATTGAATTCACCGACAACTCTTTATGCTTGGAACTGATTGAAAAACCTCCACGATGTATTTTGAAAATATTAACAGAGCAATGCCACATGCCAAAAGGTTCCGATTTAGCATATTTAAACAACTTACATGCTGAGTTTGAATATAATCCATGTTACGTAAAAGGAGTTGATAAAAGGCATTGGGAAACGGAATTTGGAATCAAACATTACGCTGGATGTGTAATTTATGCTGTTGAAGGCTTTGTAAATAAAAATCGGGATGTACAGCAAGATGTTTTATTTTATTATATGAGCAAAAGCGAAAACTTATTCATGCGAGAAATTTCTCAATATCAGGTAATTTCCTTATAAACAGTTTTCTAAAGTAATTATATATCCGTTAAGTATAAACCTCTTTTTAGTAATAGATAAAGTATTATTTGACGAAATTTTTTATATAAACATACACTATATATATATATGTATATATATATATATGATTATAAGGATTCTGGGTAATGAAACCACTGCGTAGATTTAGTAAGAAAAACTAAAGAGGATAGAAAAAATTCTTGGAAAAATTTTAAAAATAACTTTGATATCACCCTACCTATGAGAAATTAGTGAGTGTTATGAGTATATTGTATTCATTGATTAGGATAATTGAAAAAGAGGATCCTTTTTGTTCCGGTCAGATTTTAAATGGAAAAAATATCGATAAATAATTATAAATTTTAGTTGGATTAAAAAAAAAGATGGATGAACTATCTTGCCTATTTTACAACACATACTTAAGTTTTGATTTGACAATAAAGTTTTTTAGTATGATTTGAATTTTTAAATATTCAAAATTTTAATATTACGAATTCCCCTGATGAAGGCGAAAGTAAATTTGGCGAAATACGTATAGAAATATATAAAAAAATAATGCTCGAAATAAAAGCTAATATTCTTAAAAAAATAAAAAAACAAAACTGGCTTTAAAATAATTTCAACGTAACAACTCAAAAATTAAAAACAATATTAAATATTTGAAGGTTTGACAAAAAAGTTGGATGGAAATTCAAAAAAATTTTGATTTTTTCTCGTGTTTTTATATATATTCTGCACCACTTTTCTTCAAATGAAAACAAAAAATTAATGCTTTCCGCAAATCATCACTTTCTGGTACAAAATTCGACATTTTTAACACGATGAAAAAATATGATGTCTGTTCAATGACTTGATGTATACTAAATATATTTCACACATGTCATAGCAAACAAACAAAAAAAAATAAAGGCTCGTTCACAACAAATGTTCCCTGTCGGAACATTTGTATCTTTACGCTCACTTCATACCGGTACACCTGGTACAATCAGATTTTTGTCAACTTACATGCAAAATTTTATTTATCTTAAGGAATGGAAGAAAAACATAATTTAAATGCATGCATGACTTTATTTTGTAGTATATTTGTTGTTGTTTTTTCCTGGGTCGTTTTCCAAATAATGTCGTCTGATTTGATATGTAATAGCAAGCGACGACAAAAAAGTTTGACAAACAAATCTCATGTGTAATACGTTCTTTAATCAACTGACAAGGTCTTCTACAAAATTGGGTCGCCATGTATTAGATCGCTCTAGAACTTTGCACAGGTTTGACAGGATTTTTTTTATTTATCATACAACAAACTAGCAAATATCTCTAGCACAATACGGCGACCTTTCTAAAAACCACAAATTACCGAAAATTTAAAATTACAATAAAATATAACTTATTTTTGATGACATTTAACTGTCGAAGCAAAAACTGTTATCGACATTGGTATTCCTATAGTTAGGTCGACCCTCTCAGACATCATACTTATAGTATATTTGAAAAAAGAAATATTTACCTTGAAAATTTTTCACTTCGTAGTGAAATATATGAACTAAATAAAGTGCGAAACCACAAGTACAATACTACTTGTACGCAGAAGAAATTCGAACTAAAAGCATATCTTCAAAATGAAAGTCTGCTTTTTGTGTTTTGATACTGCACAAGATTTTATTTATATGGTTATGAGAACCTTATATATCCCTGTAATGTATACGTTATATTCGTATTTATTTCATAGTTGATTAAATTTAAAAAATTTGGAATGATTGACTGAGAACAAAAATATGTATTCCGTGTACAAGTACTTATACAAACTGTTTATTTTAACAGTTTTTGTATTATTGTATGATTTTTATGTGTTATATTATATTAAGTTAAATAATATTGTTCAAAATAATACAAGATGTTTTTTTAGTTACATATTATTTGCAAAAAGGCTATTAAATATGCCCATCAGACTAATATGCTATTTACTCTAATCACATTAAACATTTTTTGTAAATTTCAATTTTTTACATGTTTTGTTACATATAAAACATTTCATATATTATCTTTTTCTATAATTTATTCCTTAATTAATAAAAGCTCTTGACACAAACTAATTTTTTCCATTTTGTATTATATATAGACTTCTGACTTTTCTAAAAATACGTTTTTAAAGTTCTTACATATATATTTTTTTTCAGTGCTACAAATCGCTATGAAATCCCAAGATTACAAGATGTGCAATCTATGTTTAATAGACCTATCGTAAGGAACGTACGTCAGCCGCGGAGCTTCGTATCATATTCTTGTAATATTCATTTCATTGTACTAGACATTGAAATAGTTGTTTTAAATGGTCCACTGTAAGATGTTCTTGTTAAACTGTTCCTTGTAACGTATTCGAACTGTTTTTTTAGTAGTTTGCTTATTTATTATTGCTTCTTGCCATGTCTTCAGAAATCTAGTATCTTCTCTGTGAAGGGTTTTACTGAGATCTAATACCATATTTATCCAGGCTTTGAGTTTTAAACAATTATTATTTAAAGCTTTTAGGGCTATTATTTTTGTCACATAATTTCAGTTTAGATAGTTATATAGCTTCACTACTTTTAAGGGCTCCTTATCTAACAACCATTTTCTTCAGATTTTAGTGTTCCTGCATGTTTCTTGAAAATTATAATTTTCGATTTGTTCACATTTGTTTTTAGACTTCGTTTTACAATATTCATACAGCTTTATGGAAGCTGCAATTTATCATTAATTGCAACGTCCTTAGGGTTTTCGCTATTCATTCGATATCATCTGCATACATTAAAATTTTTATAGTTAGTCTCCCAAATTCCGTACCATCGGGTAAAATTTTTGTTGTCATCTAGAAATCTGGCAAACAAAAGTCAACTTAGCACCCATCCCTATTTCCCTCCCGTATTTGTTGTAAACCAGTAGAGGCTTTGAGTCAACTGAATTTATTTTGTTGAGAGACCTAAATTATTAAACTTATAAAACAAATAGGTTCTATCAATTGAATCATATGACACTTGGAAGTCAACAAAACAAACATAACTTTTTCAATGTATATTAATTGTCACTCGCAAAAATGAAATTTGATTATGCCACTGATAGTAATATGTAATTAAATTATATTTATAAAAAGTACATGATGTTAGACATAAATTCATTTATTTAGTTTTGTATTAATATACTTTTTAGGAAAATCAAGTCTTGCAACCACAACTGACTGCAACATTTCAAAGAGGAACGTCAAAAACCAAATGCACTGTTAGTGATACTTTTAGACAACAGCTACAAACTCTAATTGATGTTCTTCAAAGTACCAAACCATGGTAAGATTTTTATCAAAATGCGGATTGATTAATAAATAAAATTTCATATGAAATTTATTTTGTTCCGCATTAAAATTGTAAGATTTATTTTGGTTTTATTTAAATGCATCACAGACTTTAGTATATTATTTTGTGTATATTTTAAAATGGCGTATTTATGTTACTTGGTTTATAAAAATCATTACTAAACTAGTCTTTTTTTTATAATCCAATTTTGTTCTGCTTTTCTTTATATATTCTCCAAAGACTTCATATGAGTGAAAAATATTTCAATATTGCTTGTAAAAATTTTAATAGATTAGGTATTTTCATAGATAATATTTTTTTTATATAGTATGTTATATATTAATAAGCAACCGTAGCTGAAAGGCTTAAAGCTGAACATTTTGTTAGATAATTGTAATGTTGTAATATTTATATATTTTTATTTTGAACTCATAAGTTAAACTAAACTCAAATTGAATTGAGAGTAAATCAGAGTAGACTGTAAATTTAATCAGTGCAAACATTCGTTTAATCGGAATTACATGCGTTCCACAACGACAATCGCACATATTTGGATAATAATTGTTGCACCGCCGACCTAGGGCTTGAATGAGTTAAAGAGTGTATTAAGTTTAATCTGTGTTTTCGTATAGGTTGCAGTATGAACGTTCTTATGAGTTGAATAAATGTTTTACTGTAAGGTGTTTTTATATCTAATATTCTTAAGATTGCATTCTTCTGTAATGAGCATCGAGTCAGCAACTATCAAAAAAGTTTAATTGATCAGCATTCTAAAAGCATCTCTCTATTGTAGACGTTGTAGTGTAATTGTACTAACTTCAATTTTAAAGGGTATAATGCGTTTAATTACCACGTGCTTTAGCATGATCATTTTTTACGTGGAAGAATAATCCTTCTGTTATAGGCAGAAAAGTCAACTCAAGAGGATTAATCTTATAGAGCGTAGTCATGTTTCTGAAGTTACTAATTTTTCAATGGTATTTGCTACAGTGTTTCATACCACCTTGCCAAATGACAAAGTGAACGATTTGCAACTATAGCATTTTTCGCTGACTTTAAAAGTACATACGATGTCGAAAGCCAGAAAATTGAAGCATGGTATTCCCCAAGACAGTGTTCTTTTACGCTTACTTTTCAATTTATATATGTTTAAACTCTTGAACCCTTCTGAAAGAGTCAATCTCATGGCGTATGTCGACGATTGCGCAATCCTAGCCACGGACGAGAACCCTACCATATAATTTGATAACCTTTCCCTTACGGCCTCATTTTTTGATGATGTAAGCCCTCGCTTATCAAAAAAAATACGATCACCATCTACACTTCTTGAACTAAAGAAGTATCCTTGAGCTTGTCAATTTATATTGGTAAATTCAGGATCCTTACAACAAATAAACCCAAAATCCCAAGATCAACAGCCTATTGACTTTTTCTGCCCATGCCACGTCATTCTTCATCCTCTAAAATCTCGTAATGTGGTAAAACCTTTTGAAGGCTGTTTAGTGAATAAAGACAACGAAACAGTGCAGCATATATATAAAGCAATGAGAAGTCTTATTGCGGATTATGCTGCTCAAGTATATAACCAATCTTGTCAAAATGCAGCCTTGTGGATTGGAACCATTTGTCATTACATATCGAATGTTTACTGTTTCAATGGTAGACCAAAAATGCTTCATCAAAAGAAACAATTAAGAACTGGCCAAGCAATGTCTACTTTCGGTTCATTCGTTGATGCATTCGCTAATGTTTTTCTTCTTATTATGTACAGATCCTACAATGGAGCTAATACAGTGCGGTCAAATACAAACGTATACTAACCATGATCTCAACAGACCTCCGCCTAATATGCCTAGGAGGAAAAAACGCATTCCTTGTGCTGTAAGAACAGTCTTAGCCCAATTAAGGTCGGTCTTTAGCCATATGCTAAACGATTACTTGTTACATATAAATACGTCAATTCGTAATATTTGACGCTGCAGTAGCTGCATAAGTTTTCTGCGATTGTTGAGTCCCACCATGGACGTTTGGATCTGCCTCGAGCTCCTGCAGACTTCTAAGTCGCATTAGTAGCAGACGATAAAGAAGTCGACCGTCCGATCGATTTCAGAGCAGTAACGAATAACAGGTGGAGGCGACTACAAACTTTACTCTATAGTGGATCGGAAAATAGACCAATCGGTGTGTTTTCTGTTGATTAGATGACCGGTTTATTTCAGAGTTCACTTTCAAATCAAGATTAAATGTTAGGTATCTGGAAGCAGTCCACAGCTACAATAGTGTGTGTGAAAAGTGCTCACTAATAAAAATGATGTCTTCGAACGGGATGTTTACACACCTCCTTATCTGTCAGAGGTTTGAACTCTGAAACGTTTGCCTGATAAGATTTAAACTCTATTCTGAAGGGTTGCATGTTATTTTTTTGTTTTGCGTTTTTAATTTTTAATCGTGTTTGGATTTGAATTCATTCAATATGGATCCGCATTCAAAGCTGATATCCGTATATATAAGTGTAAATAAGTTTCATGGTTATCTATGCAAACGCAGGTCCATATATGCGTTAACACAAGCCTTAAGTCTTGATTGCGTGTAAACAATCAAACTAAATAAAATGAATTATGCAAATCCGAGGACGAAACCGACTGTACCTATCGAAAGCTGCCTTATAATAGTCAGAATGATGGTGGGGACTAATGTTTTGTAAATTGGCTTATTTCAGGATTTGTTGTAATGTAAATATTTGGTCAATATTGAAGTGACCAGGTCGAAAGCTGCGCTGATAAAACACAAGTAGCGAATTGCATACAGCAATTTAGCTTTGATAGCAAAATTAGTACAATCAATGCTAAAGCGTTTAAAAGAGGTACTAAAACGTAAAGGACATTTAACAAAATATTAAATTTTAATTATTGTTACTAAAATTGCAGTCTGTTGCATAAATGACGAATACTTTTTCTGCGTTATTTTTGGTGTTTCGCAATATAATTGCTTTTTTGTTATTTAATTGTTAAATTTTTGGAGTAAACAGAATTACAACCAGGGACCGTAACTGTTATCATAAAAAAAATAAAAATCATCTTATAACTGTTATCATATGCATTTTAAAATAAAACTCAAAAAATAATAATTAAATTTGATTTTTATTATATTCATCAAAAATAATAATTATTATATGCCTTTTATTTTTTTCGCGCAGAAATAACTCTTAAAATTTGCTTCTTATTTTAAAACGCACAAATAACTGGTATACTTGCGTTATATAATATAAGAAGCAAGAGTATCGCGCAAATTCTGCGCGATATTTTTAAAATGAAAATATAAAATGCAATTTTCATACAAGGTAGTTGTTTTTGCAATTCCATAGAAAATGTTTGAAAAGGTTGGTGCAGGTAAAGATTTAGTTCAGTTTTTTGTTTTTGGATTCATATTTTGTATTTATCTTTGTATTTTGTAGGAGAACAAATTTGTATGTAAAATACAAAAACAAAAACTAAACTAAATCTTTACCTGCACCAACCTTTTCACACATTTTCTATGGAATTGCAAAAACAACTACCTTGTATGAAAATTGCATTTTATATTTTCATTTTAAAAATATCGCGCAGAATTTGCGCGATACTCTTGCTTCTTATATTATATAACGCAAGTATACCAGTTATTTGTGCGTTTTAAAATAAGAAGCAAATTTTAAGAGTTATTTCTGCGCGAAAAAAATAAAAGGCATATAATAATTATTATTTTTGATGAATATAATAAAAATCAAATTTAATCATTATTTTTTGAGTTTTATTTTAAAAAGCTCATATATAAAAAGCATGCATAATATTAAGGATAAAAGTTATTAGAATGATAACTATTTACTTAAATAAGAGTTTAGACAACTTTTTGTTGCTGCTTTTTTTCATAAAAAATTTTAAAATAACTGTTATTTTCGGTCCCTGATTACAACATATAAACAGAATACAAGCGTTGAAAACTATTTTTTTCAATTTTTTTGTTTCGTTTTGTTGTTATTACAGCATTTTATAAAAATTTAGTTAATGACAAAAACTTTCTTTGACCGCTGTATTTATTTCTGATAATTTGTACAGCAGACAAATAATGCGATTTTTATATTTAAATCAATACGCAATTCTTTTCTTTGTTTTGCTCATTTTCGCACTTTTCGTCATTAAAAAGTGGCATGGTTGCCAAAATTTAACAAAACAAATTTGAAACTGTTGTTGTTCCCAAAACTGATGTCTCCCAAGCAATTCAGAATAAGGGAGTTGAGTTCTTGGGAATAGCGTGGGAATAGGAGACTTGTTTTCTGGGAGTATTCAGAATTGCTATGATTTTCTCAATTTTCAACCAGCAACTTAACAATATCTGCGTAAAAACCGAAGTAAAATTAATTTGAGACTTATTTCTCCTAAAATTGTACTCATAGTTTTTAACTTTAACTTCATTTAAATGTTAATGGAATTACGACTAAACTGTCGAATATTTTCAATTACTTGAATATCTTGAATGAAGCTCTTACAATGAAAAACTGAATTTTTATTTGGGGAAAGGGTTTCTTATAAAATTTTATAAGATTGTTATTTTAATAATGTATTTAATTATTGTATAAAAGACACAAATAATGCGAATACAATCAAATTTTTAAATTGAAAAACTTTATTAAATTTGTTATAGTTTGTCTATATTCTATCATATATTATATATTTTACTTTTTAAAACATAAATGTTTTTATATTTTAGGTATGTTCGTTGTATAAAACCAAATGCAGATAAGCTTGCTAACACATACAATGAAACCTTAGTACTTGATCAGTTGAAATACCTAGGTATGTTGGATATAATCAGAATTCGGAGAGAGGGATTTCCAATTCATCTTCAATTAGAGCAGTTTATACAAAAATTTAAGTGTTTACTAAAAAAAACGAAATCAATCAATAGTTCCGAAGCTATACCTAATATAATGAATACCCTAAATATTTCAAGAAATGATTGGCAAATCGGAAAGACTAAAGTTTTTCTTCGTTCGAAGGCTTACGAATCGCTGGAGGTTTTAAGAAGAGAAGTGGTGGACAAAAATGCTTTGCTTATACAAAAGAATTTACGTTCTTTTGTTCAATATAAAAAATATAAATTACTTAGAAATTCTGTTTTAGTTCTTCAACATGCTTTCAGAGGATGGAAGTTACGAATAATGTTTTTGCAGATGAGACGAGCAGCTATTGTAATACAAAGCCATTTACGTGGTGTATTTGCGAGAGAGGTAAGATATATTATAACTACCAAACTTGACAGGCTATCCTACGTACCACTATCTAATCTTGGAGTAATCACTCTCCGCACGGGGAGGTGCGCAGATCTTAGATCAATCACTGAATAATCATGAAGCTTATAGGCAATACATAAATTAGTCAATGAGATGGGTGGGATCCTGTAATACCCCCAGCTATCAAAGAGTAAAAGTGCCCAGTTGCGCTGACTCGAAAAAAGAATCAACATACTTAACTCTTTTAATAATATAATATATCTATTTCCATACTTTTTAAGAAAGAGTTAAGCAAAGTTAAAAATAGGAATAAAAACATATTTCCTCACTGTGAAAAGCAGAAATGTTTTTTATTCTTACTGATCGTTTTATTTGAATGGATACAAAGTAGTTCTCCATTGATCCATGATCTGTAATGATCTGTAGTTTAACCTTAACTATGAAAATATGTATATTTTATATAGTGAAATAGTAAAATTCAAGTGACTTTTTATTTGAGTTTTAATGCAAGTACGAGAACAGTTTTATTACTGGTATACTGAATTGCTTTCACATTTCGTGACTATAACAAATCCATAACACATAATTTAAGGCGTTAGAGAAGTTAGATTTATGCTAACTCGTAACAATGCATCGATAAAACTAAATACAGTTTTAAAATATTTATTCTCGATAAATATGGTGACCAACTTTTTATGTTAATTTTTTTTGTCAGGACAACTATAAAATAAATGAGGGTATAACAATCACTCAGTAAAACATAAATAAATGCTTTAACGTATTACATCCACTAAGAAATTTGAAACAATTTTTACTAAGATTAAATAGAGTGTTCCATAAACCGTTATGTTATATAAATATTTAAAATTAAAATGTTTTGTATAATAATTTTTAAAACATATGTATACATATATATATATATATATATATATATATATATATATATATATATATATATATATATATATATATATTTATATTTATATTTATAAATATTGTAGGTTGCATCCGCACTCCGTGAAATGAAGCGTGTTAACGACGAGATGAAAAAGAGGAAAAAAGTTATTTGTAGTGATAATTCAAATAGCAATGATAGTCCAGCTAAAGTTCTGGAGGATTGTGAAAGGTAAAGATTATTAAAATTTATTCACATCAATTTTCCAAAAATTTTAATTTTTTTAATTAAACTCGTTGATAATTTAGTTCTTGTATTTTCGACATATTATTGTTTGGCTGGGTCTACCAGTTTTTCACACTGGATTACAACTAATTGGTTGATTTGGACTTTTCCAAAGCAAATATTTTTCAGACATGATGGATTAATCGTAACAAACGTATTCTATCAAACTAATTTCGAAAGTATGATCCGGAATCGCTACTATCCGCACTAATCATAATCAATAGCTTTTTAAGAAAGAACAAGTATGTAATCAGCTAGTTTTCTATTGCTCGAGTTGCAGATAGTTTTAGTAACTTTATAAGTATGAAGACTTCGCCATTTATCCTAAGTACTTTTGAATTTTTATGCTGATATTGATATGCATACTGAGGTTCAATTGTAACTACCGTTGTTCTATGTTTAATTATTAGCTGTTGTTTTTTGTTGCTTGAGCCGATATTTGGAACGTCACTGTGTAGAGTGTCCCTTTTGGTTTCGAGAAGGAAAAATGAAGAACTAATATAATACAATTCTGATCGTCTTTTCGACTTTTGTATTTACAATTGAATCGTTGAAAAATATGGATTTCTAGCCGTGCAATTTAGCTTGAGTGTAACAAGATCATTCCAGTGAATTTTTGTCGGCACTATTTGAAGTTATATGTATGGCATAACTTCCTTCTTGATGAGGAGCGAGGTCTACCGAAAACATCTGCTGCTTTTGAGGCCATAACACCGTGTTGAATACGCAACTCCACATCACAAATGACAGTAAAATACTATTATTTTTTCCGCGTAAATTTCGGAATTAACCGCAGTCAACCTCAGTTAGTCAAGACAGCCAAAACTGCGGGCTACTGGCCCCCATAATACAGATTCACATCTCAGGTCAGCTGTTACAAGTGGGGTAACTAACTTACTACCATGCACTGGAAGCTGCTCCTAAGTTACAGGAGGAGGGAGTTGACATTCGCCGCGAGGGTGAGACTTGCCGCAGTGCACGCAACAGAGGGATAATTGCATATATTCTGCTCACAGCGTAGGGCGTTAATACTGTATAAGGTAGTGCGGATACAAGTTATTTTGCCATTTACGCATTTGACTGTCCCAATTACAGTTGCATTGTGTTTTTAATACCTAAAAAATGTAATGTGGCTTTTTTATTTTTATTTTTTGTGTGATTTTACCATGTATTTGTTTATTATATAGCTTCAGTGATTTTGTTATAAACAAATAATTATTTATTCTATTATTTCATATAATTAATTAATTGTTAATTAAAAAACATATTAATTAAATAAACAATTATTAATTTAATTCAAATTTATTTTAGGTTGGTGCAGGAAGAAATCACCGTTTTGTCTCAAATGGCTGAACAAATATCAACTGGCATACCGAAAACGAATTTATCGAAAAATAGTTTTTTCCAGAATGGAAATGGAACTCAATTCGCAACAGATAGTGATCATAATCAGTACAATAATGAATCTGTAGAGCTAGATAACTTGTTCGCATTTTTAAGCGATATAACGCCAAACTCTGCCGTAAATCCTCTTTTAGAAGAAATTAATAATAAAATGGATTCTTTGGTTCAAGATCTTGATGATGAGGTAATATTTTAATAGTAAATACTAAATACTTAAAATAAATACTTAATAAATAACTGTTTATAATACTTTATATTCAGATTGAAAATTCAGGCTATTCAAATAATGTGGATCATGACGCAGAAGGAGAAAACTTATTTAACAACATCTCTAACAAAGGCATTCCATCGCTTCCAGAACCAACAGTTCCGCCACCACCACCGCCAACAGAGAATAGCAAACATGTTTCTAATACAAACATTAATCAGTCTGACTTAAAAGTAAAACCAGAACCAATATATGAAGCTGTTTTACTGAATATGCCTTCAAACAAATCACCCAACGTTTCTGAGTCTACTTTAGAAACGAACTATGATAATACTAGTTCAAAAGCAGGACCAAAATGTTCAAATATATGTACTAATAACATAAACGTGGACGCATCTGGGGAAAGAGAACAGCGACGAAAATATAGAGTTGAAAAAAAATTACAAGAAATGCAACAAAATTTATTAGTAGAACAAAAGGACAGTTCTAACAACGAAGTTTATTTCGATATCTTAGAATTTGCAGACAATTATTTTAATACACATGAGCGTAGTCCTGAAGGTACACTTATTGCGACGCTTACTCGTAAGGGAAAAAAAATTGACGCCCTGACGAAGAGTGATATGATTTCTTTCTTAAAGGGAGAAAAAATTCCATCTTCACATATACATATGTATGATCCAGAAAATGTGATGATAGCTTGCAACATATTTCGCGTAAGTAACAAATGCGATGCATACTGCATGTTTCAAATAAATTTTTTATACCTTCAATGTTCGTGAAATAGATATAATATACGTTATTTTGACTTTCATCTTATTAATCTATTCATCTTTCATTCCAAATATTCTTAGTAGAAATAATATGCAGTATTTAAATTTATATATAAATTTTAGTGATTGTCTTTCAAGACAAGATGAAGATATGAAAGCGGCAGTTTCATAGGTAGATAGCGGAGTTTTAATACAATTGTTATTACTTGAAGCACAGGCAACTCATAAGTTGTCTGTGATTGGAGAGATGATTTATTATCACTAAAAAAGTAATAAAAATAAAATTAATAAATATATAAACCTTTTTCTAGAATTTTTAATTTTTACTAGAATCAAGCGTTATGACACCAATCTCACTCTCAGTTAATGTAGGCTTTTTGCAGTTAAATGCGTTCGTCGGAATATTTTAGTTGTCAATCCATAAAACAATGATTGTAGCAGTCGATAACATTATGAGAATATTTCCTGAAATATACTATTTGAAAAGTATACTATGGAAAGTAACTATTTAGGGGCTCTATTAAATTTAAAAAATAAAAGCAATCCCACAATGCGTGTGGCAGAAAAAACATAACTATTTGTGGATGTTGGTTTTAAACTTTACATGTAAAGATTATTTTAAATTAACTTAAGTTTTAGTACATTATGTTTATAATATAAATTTTATTCATTTATATTTTATATTTTATTCACTATTCATAACAGGAACTTTGTAAATATATGCGAGGTGAACTAAGTGCCGAACGTGAACTTCAAACAATTCAGTATATAATTGGAATTGGGATTGAAAGAGAAGAATTGCGTGACGAAATATTTGTACAGTGTATACGTCAAACAACAAATAATCCAAATAGAGAATGGAGTGATAGACTTTGGTTAATTCTATGCCTATTAATTGTTGCATTTCAACCTACTAAATTGCTATTTCGGTAATTATAAAAATACTTTTGTAATTAAGTATTACTTTAAATCTGAACTTATTTAAAACTATAAAATTTATTCCTTTTATTTGTAAATTATAATTTTTTTGGTTTTTTTTTATTTAAACATTCATTTATTTATTGCATCTTCTCTCACAATGAGACTAACAATAAGTTGTAAAATCTTATTACTAATTACATATGATGTTATTTAAACAGCAAAGTTATTTTAACATGAACGCTTGAACTGAACGCTCACAAGACTAATTTGTCTTACCTTCTACAGTATAATCACCAATTTTTATTTCTATTCTATTTCTATTATAAAGCTTCCTGAGCGTGTGACTCATCCAGTTGTATTTAGGTCTTCTTATTTGGTGTTAATGTCTTCTACTTGTTAGTTGAAGTAGGTTTTCATTCGAAATTATACGAGGCCACCAGACCTTAAGTATATTGCGCAGGCTGAAATATTGTTTGATTTCAGCACTGACTAGGTATGTTTCGGAGCGATAGAGTAGTACAGACTTAACGCATGTGTTGTAGTCGTAGTAGACAGTTCATTTGAGTGCCAAATTTTAACTCTTTGCCTTCTGGAAGCAACTGCTTTTAATATGCAATCTAATGTCACCACAAACAGGAGAAAATATAAGAGGCATCCTTGTTTGACACCTGTTTGTGTGGTAAATGGATCGCTAATATTGCCGCAGTGCACGACTCTTGCAGTGGCTTCTTGGTATTGAGTTCTAATAACGTTGATAATTTTATCCGACACTCCCATGCTTTGTAGGGCAAGAAATACTACGTTGCTGTCAATGGAGTTAGAAGTTTTCAGGAAGTCGATAAATATCAGGAATAGTGCTGGATTATATTTGTTGCATTGCTCTCTGAGTAGTCGCAAGCTGTTTATGTGGTCCAGCCTGACCTTTTGGGTCGAAAGCTATATTGCTCTTTTCTCAATTGGCAGTCAATTGGTTCGTTGATGCGGTTTAAATGAAAATAAAATGAAATGAAAATTTTGCATACTGCAGCTACAAGCGGATTCGGAGTTGCATTTTTCAGTAAATATTGGCTTTAAAATATTTGCGAGAACATCGGGATTAGATTTGTATAGTTCTGCAGCAACGTTATCAATACTGAATGCTTTACCGTTTTTAAGCAGCGAAATAGCTTCTGCAATCTCCTCCTTGGTGGGAGGATTGCTGCATATTGCATATTTTAGTGGGCGTGCACGTGGGAACGATAGACTGTTGTTGTTGCGTGTTGGGTTATCTGAGAACTGGTTAAACGTTTCTTGAAAGTGCTTGCGTCGGCGTGAAAATTGCTTTTCTACATTAATTAAGAATCGGCCGATTTTGTCTTTGATAGGTAGGGTATGTTGAAGGTATGTTCAATTGTGAGTTTACGTGTAAATTCAAACACAGTTTTTTTGTCCCCACGAGAGTTTGCTGCTTCCGCCTTAGTGACCAAGTTGTTGATGAAACTACATTTATCGTTTCTAGCTTGACGTTTCACTTTTTTAACGAGTGTTTGGTATGCAGTGCGCGCCGTGAATCTTTGGTCATCATTGGTTGCATTCATTCATTGAGTCTCTCTTCAGTTAAGGACCAGAAATTCGGTGACAACCATTCTTTGTTTTCACGCTTGATGGTGCCGCATTTATGTTTGGGACGTTAGATCGAGTCCTTTCTGCTCTTTTATCCAAAATGACGTTAGCAAAATGCTTACGTGTATTGTGGTATTTGAGTCGAGCAATGTAACACTTTTTTCGTTGGATGTCTGCGTTTGTGCTTTTCCTTAAAAGAAGCTTCATTTCTGCAAATAGCATGTAGTGAACGGAAGCTGTTTCGAAACTGTGCAGCACGCGGACATCTTGAAGAAGGTCAGGTTTTTCGTACTGATACAGAAGTGGTCTATCTGGCCTTCGATAACTGATCGGTTGTCTCTAGATCTCCAGGTGATTTTATGTACCCTCTTATGACGAAAGTATGAACCACCAACAACAAGATTATTTTTTGTGCAGATTTCTATTTACATATCGCCATTTCCGTTTTGAGCACCTACACCGTGTTTTCCCATTATCCGTTCGAAACCTTCGTTTTCGGGCATTTAGGTCTCCCATTAGGACTAAAATATCGTTGCTGTCTAGCGTACGATTTAGCTCGTCATAGAACATCTCTTTTTCTTGTTAATCAGATAATTCAGTGGGTGCATAGCACTGTACTATTGACAAGTTGCTAAAATTAGTGTTGAATTGTATGTGAGGGTCACTTTCGTTTCGCATTCCAGTGTAAACTATGCAGTGCTCCTGTGTGCTTGTAAAGTCGGCACATACGTTTCAAAGCAACTCACTTATTTCCACAATGACGACATTAGGACATGTAGCTTTCTCTGTTAGCCGTGCAAGCTCACCAACTTGATAGAATGAATTTAGATTCCATGCGGCAAATTGGGGGCAGGCAGTTGTCGTTATCAAGAGGTGGTTTTGGTTTGTTCTTCTATTTCTGTTTGTATTTGCAACGAGGTGAGTTCTCACCCACGGTAGGGGATTGGCCTAAGATAGCCTAGATTGGTGACAAGGCAGTGGTATGATTTTGAATTGCAAAAAAGAATTATTCAAATTATCTCGAAAAATTTTTAATTCTATCGTATAAATAAAAATAGTTTTATATTAAAACATAAAATATTTAACGAAAAAAATTGTCCACTGTAATTTATATAAATTTTTATGCGTTTTTGATAAGATACTTCGTTTCCTACCTTAAAAAAAATTTGGTAATTTTGGATGGAAAATTACGGCAATACGCGCAATGGTGTTTCGATAATTGCAAATGTACCAAAGTATCACCACGACTATATCCTCCATCTAGTGTTGAGGTTGCAGTAAGTTTTAATTTTGCATAATATAAATATATGTTTTATAATGAAGTTTACTAATTAATAAAATTCGAATATTATTCAAGGCTATGAGACGGCTGGGAACAATTGTGTGCCGGTTTTTTTTCTTAGATGGGCGAACTAAGGCTATTGATGTGCATCCTACAGACACTGCTGGTGATGCCATCCTAAAGTTAGCCGAGAAGCTTGGTTTAAGTAATACGGAAGGTTGGGCAATATTTCAATCAAGGCCAGATGGCGATGAACATATAAAATCTTATGATTACTTGTATGACATTATTGCGGCATGGGAGAGTAAACAAGTTAAATCACAAACTTCAGTAACAGCAAGACTTCAGAATAACAATAATTCACCGGCCGAAAATAGGTTTGTTTTTAAAAAACGTTTATTTAAAACCACACGCGAACTTTCTCAGGATCCAGTAGAAGTGAATATGCTTTATGCACAAGCTGTTTATAGTGTTGTTAGGGTAAGTAGAATTTAAATTTATTTATAGTTGTTTACATATTAGGGGTATACGCTTTGTTTTGCTCAGTCAGAGTTAATACCCCTATTAATTTTCAAGTATATTATTTATATATCTATCCATTAAATTATAAAACTCTTTTATAATTAAATGAAAATTGAACAGTGGTAAAAAGGTTGAATATCATTTTCTAAGCAATATGTTGAAAACCAGCCGTGGCAAATAAAATAACCAACATAACCGCAACTTGCTTCTTACATACCGTGTCTTATATATATCTCGGTTCGCAATTATGCGATTAGCAAATTCTTAACGGAAGTTGTGAGCATCATTTAGTCATTAAATTTGACTGATCGCCCTGCGACGTAAACACAACCACAGCTAGAACCCATCTTTTTTTTTCAAAAACGAAAAATATATTAGTTATCGCAAAATATAAACCAATAAACGAAAATAAACTGTTAAGTTTCAAAAAGGTTTGAAACTATTTGACTAAGTTTAAGTGGACCCTTATAACACATAGCATTCTATTACCTCTTAATATATGTAGTAGCAAAAAACCAATTTGAAATTTTTATATAAAAATGTTTAAGTTTTATTTAAAAAAGCGAATAATGAAATAACAAATCTCATCCGACTTTATTTTTTTTAATTAATAGCTATTATGGTTCCTGGAAATAATTTTAGACGGCAATTTCTTTATGTTTTGTAATAAGATCATAAATTATTTAAAAAATTTGTTTATTATTATATATTTTTCATATATTACTTTTGAAAACATTTTTTTACTGTATTATTCTTTTAGTGTGACGAATTTCCAGTTAGTGAAAAAGTTGCTCTTCAATTAGCAGGCCTGCAAGCTCAAGTAGCTTTGGGAGATCCATCAAATCAACCAAAACCTGATTTCTATTCCGATATTAACAATTTTCTTCCAGAGCGAATATCAAAAACAAGAGAGCGTCAATTTTGGATTCCAATATTGGCTCAAGCTCATAGACAATATGGAGCCTCTAGAAACGATTTAACAGCAAAAGTTTTATATCTGAGTTGTGTAATGCAATATCCGTTGTATGGCACAACTATGTTTAATGTTACATACAAAGGATATTGGACTTTTGGAAATAATATAATATTAGGAATAAATAGCGAAGGGATTCTGTTCATTCAACCAGATGATAAATTCGTGTTATATCATTTTAAATATACTGAAATTGAATCAATTATGTTAGATCCAAGTGATTCTTTTATTACGTTTACTGTTAATGGTGCTTCTGGACAACAAATACAAGACTCAAATTATCGATTAAAAACATTTTGCTCAACAGAAATTCAAAGGTGTTTCGTTTTTGAAACTGTGCAAAAAAATGAAATAGGTTCTTTAATAGTATCCTATTGTCCAGCATTATCAAACTGGATTTTGAATTGTGAAAGTTTGAAGAAAACGAAAGGAGTTACACCTGAAGATCGCTCACGATTATATCAAAATGTAATCTTATGTCGCCGACAACTTATTGATTTGGAAGTTGTAAAGAAGCCGCACGAAACTGGTGGATTTTTAAGAAATACTCTAAGAAGGTTGTCAAAACATAGGCTAGAAAAATTAAGAGCAGAACAAAGAAACAGCTTACAAGAACATGGCGAAACATATAAAGGTTTTTCACATTCTTTTTGGGCATTTAGTAGACAGCCACTACCACAATGCTTAAGTAAACTAAGTGATCAAGAAGAGTCAATAATGCTTCAAATATTTCAAACTATTCTAACCTATGCTGGCCTTGGAAATTCGGGTATGTTATTTGTTTTTACCATATTTTTTAAAGTTATTAACACGTTCAATATTTCTATTCGAATTCAATAGTTTTGGTTTGCACAATAAATTTTACAAAATAATTTCAAAAAAATGATGTTTCTGTATTGGTTTGACTTGTTGACTTTGGAAAATGATAAAAAAAATTTTTTTTAATATTAATATTTAATATTTCTCTGGGAGTCTTAATAAATTGAAACTAATTAAATCACCAACCAATTAAGTCACATTAACATTATGTAGCTTAAAAGATTTCTACAAGTTTCAGATTTAATTTGATATAAATTATTGCATGCAGTAAATTCATCAAAAAAAGTTATACAGTGTGATGTTTTGAGAAAAATCGAAATAACTATTTTTTGCAAATAACGGTAAAACACCACAAAAGAAAAAAAAATCATTATGATTTTCGATTCCTACAGAAACTTTCACTGTAGGTAGAATTTTGAAAAACAAAATTTTTAATAAACTAAGGTTAACAAATTACCAAAAAAAAGTTTTACCAAAACAAAATTTTAATATAAATCCAGAAGAAAATTTTAGTTAATTGACAAAATAAATTAAGATGCTATTGAAAACTTTTTTTTTTAAATAAGGTCTAATTGTCGATAACTTCCAATAAAATGTCCGAAATAATGGGTGCCAACGGTGAGCCCGTTTGGCAATAATGGTTGTATACCATTACGTTGTTTATATATTTCGTTATCAAATACGAAACACTGGTTCAGTAAATCCGAACACGTATTACTTAACATCTATTAGCTACAATCTAGCAATAGTAATAAATTAACAAATATTTAAGATCAAAAAAAAAATAAATGATATTTATTTCCATACGTTTTCTTCATTTCCATGATCTTAAGTGATGAAATATATACCAAATTTTATTGTAATAAACAAATTGATTCAAATATACAAATCCGGAAAAATTTATGGAAATATATTTTAATAATTTCTTTTCAGGTGAAGTTGTTCAAAAAGCAGAAAACGATCATATTATTATTTTACAGTCCATATTAGATAAATGTATGCGCAAAGAATCATTAATAAATGAATTATATCTTCAATTAATTAAACAAACTACGGATCACCCAGACCCTAACTCAAGAGTGAATTTACGTCATTGGGCTTTGTTATCATTGTGTTGTAGCATAATATTACCTCCTTTGAAATCTATACGTAAATATTTGATTGGACATCTTAAACGTTGTGGAAGTGATTATATTACAGAGGAAGGAAAATTCGCCAGCTTTGCTGAAAAGGTATCCGTCAACACCATAAATAGTTTAGTTACCATATATTATAGAAATTATAGATTATATTTTTAAATTTTATTGCTCATACTTTAATTTGCACTTCAAATTAAATTATAGTGCTTTTTTAAAACTCATGGTACAAGACGAAGGCAGTGGCCACCAAGTAGAGAAGAAATACTTTGCACAATTAACAGAAGACTTTGCTATGCTAGATTCAACTTTATGGATGGACAATTTTATTCAATAGAGTTTCATGCTAACTGCACTTCCTCTGAATTAATAAGTGTAATAAAAAAGAAGATTGGTTTGCAAGAGTCTTCTATGGGTTATGGTATATACGAAGTTCTTGGTAATTTTGAGAGAAGTTTACAACCTGATGAGAAAGTGACAGATGTTATGGCGAAGTGGGAAAGATATCGCACTGCTTCAATGCAAGCGCTCTTAAATGAAGTATGTATATGCTTGTTCATTGTACAGTTGAATCACAAACAATTTTTAACATATTGATTTGAATTTAAACTTTTTAATTTTTTTAAACAATTTCAGCCGAATAATGCAACAAACTATCGTTATCAGCAGCATATATTCTTATTTAAGAAACATCTATTTTTTGATGGATTTATCAATTTGAATGATCCTGTCGAGAAGGAGTTACTATATCACCAAATTCTTCACAATTTACGTAGCGAACGATTCCCAATAACTGAAATTGAAGCCATTATGATAACAGCATTACAAGCTCAATTAGAACATGGAGACTATGAGGAATTTAATATTGATTATAAAATCATTGCTAGTCATTGTTTGCCACCGAGATTTGTACCAAATATTCCCCATGACGCTGTAGCTATGCATCATCAAAGTCTTAGAGGAATGCTACCCGCAGAAACAAAAAAATCATTCCTTAACTTAATACAAAGTTGGCCGCTACATCGTTCTACTATATTTGATGTGATGGTAATAATGCTGTTATAAATATTTTTTTTTTAAATAATATTATAAATTTATTGCAGCAAACATTTACCTCTAACTGGCCCAGAGTTCTATGGCTTGCTGTCGATCAGAATGGAATTCATTTATTAGAGCATCGGTCTAGAAATGTTCTGTGCTCCCACTATTTTGACTCTATTATATCATATTCACCAAATGTAAATTCAATCATGATTATCACTGGGTCGGAAGTAAAACAATCAAAAGTTATACTTAGTACTTCACAGGTCTGTATTATTTAAATTTTTATATCAAGATATATATAGGTTCGTTTATATTCTGAATGAATGGTATACTATTAAATTTATTAATATTAGTATTTATTAGAGTACCTTGTGATCAAAAAATAACATTAATTTTTAATTTTAGAATTTCCGCGCTTATCCAATCGGTAAATTTTTTTGTACATATTCTGTCAAAGTTCGAACGATTAGTTTTTGTTTGGCGTCTATACAAAGAAGTCGAAAAATGTTCGTGAGGCGTTTTTTACCTTATGGCCTCTATGGTCTCAAAACGCATTCCTCGCAATGGCAATTTGAGTCAGGCAAAGAGGAAAAAGTCACACGGGGCCATATCTGGAGAGTACGGTGTTGATGATATTGGTGGAGTTTTTGGCCAAAAACTGCAGCTTTATTTGAATGAAATTCAGCTTTTTTGCCAGATAAGCGACGCGTTTTAAACCCAAAACATCAGTGTTCAGCCGATCCATATGAGATGCCCAACAACACTGTAATCTCTCTAATCGATTCACAACGATTTCACAACACGATCTGCTTCGCCGATTCAATGTTTTCTTCAGTAACAGAAGTTGTTGGGCGGCCAGGGATCTCATCATGGTCCAAGCTTGTATGATTGCTTTGAACCTTTTACACCATTCGTATATTCGTGGTTGCGACACACACAAATCACCAAAGGCCTTTTTTAACATTTTTTAACAGTTTCGGCACACTTGAATCCGTTTGCAACACAAAATTTGATGCACGTACGTTGTTCTAATTTCTAAAACTAATCGTACGATATGCATTAAACTTTGACAGAATGCGTATAATAGTGTTGTCAGCGTGAAAATAAAAAAATTTACCGATTGGATAAGCGCGGGAATTCAAAAATAGGTCTCTCGTTCTTTTTTGATCAGAACGTATGTTCACTTATTTGTTTTAAAGAAAATTAATAAGCATGATTGTTGAGCTAAACTTGAATAAGACATTACGGATTGTAGTTAGGCAATGCATGTTGGCTGCCAAGATCACTTTAGAAACAAAAATATGGTTGAGAAATATTGCAATTGTAATATGAAATGTATGCAAAGCTGTAAATGAAATATTTGATTTTTTGTTTTTTATTTATGAATCTAAAATATATATATATTTTAATTTAAAATTTATATATTTATGTTATAATTTAAATTAAATGATTCTTTTGTTATTTTTCAGGCTTTTCAAATTGCAACACTAATAAAGGAATATTTAGAACTTCTGAAAAATAAACCGAAGTAATCGGCATAAAAGCTAAATATACATTTATTAACTTAATCAATGTGTTCATAACCAAAAAGTGTATTTCTTATTTATAAAGTATGCACTTAAAAGCTTTTTGATAAAAAAATTTTGTTTAAATTAGTAATATTAATATTACTAACAATTTATTAGTAATTACGTGTTAACTGTCTATTTTGTATCGATTAAAAATACTCAAACGCTGAGAATTATTTGTTATTATTCTTAGTTATATAAAAATATATAAATCAAATGTTAACTTAATACAAACATTAAAAATTAAACATAGATATGTTATTAAAAATGTTGTTTCCCTTTTAGAAAATATTATAGGGGTTTTCTATTATAAAAGATTATTCAACGAATGGTTTCTCTAAACCGTTAAATTGTAGCGCCAGTTAAGAGAAGGTAAGGTAATCATAACAAGTTATATTATTAGATTATCATTATCATAAGATTTTATTATCACAGTTTCTTGTATTCTCCAGCATTATAGTTCAAACTTTTCTGTGTTCCGAATTTAGTTGGCTTTATGACTTTTAATACATAAGGATATATCTTTATTTTTGCTGTATAGATTTGCTAGGAGACTTAAATAAGTAGGACATATTTTTAAATGACGGTAATAAAAGTGGTTTCGCTCGCAAATAGTCTCGTGATATTTTTATTCACATGTAACATATACCGTTGGGTTAGACTAATAGGTGGATTATACCGGTATACTATGTAATAATATCTAGTTATTGACCTGTCATGCAATATTTTTTTATTATCGTTAAATTCCTCACAGATTCAGTAATGAAAAACATTAAATTCTATGCCTCTATGCTGGGAAGAGGTTTCAGATATTACCCTTTGCTCGACTTCCAGCACATTAGCGATCAATGACTCTCCAGTCTCAGCCAGGAACTCCTTCTCTGATCATAGATTCATCATGTTTGTGATAGATATTCCCACAGTAGCTAAGCAATCTCAACGTAATCCGAGGAAGGCAAACTGGGATACTTTCAAGTCATTGCAAAATCAACATAATCCCCGCTCCAATTAACTCAATTAGAAAATTAGAGTGTAGAGTCAACTCTTTTACAAATAACATTATTTCTACCTTTGAAGCGTCGTGCCCTGCTCGTATGTGAAGAAATGTAGGCCAGCATGGTGGAACGAGAAGCTCTCTTTGCTCCGCCGGAATACACGGAAAGCTTTCAACGAGAGCTATCGTTCAGTCAACTCTGGTGAGACTATACAGGCAGTGGTATCTTCTAGAAGGATCAAATAAGCTATAGATTCCTTTTCTCCGTACATAAGTTCGGGCCCCGACCTAGTCTTACCAATTATGTTACAATCTCTGGGAGATGTAGCTGTAAATTGGCTGTCCACGATTTTCTGCAGCTGCCTTTCACTTAACCATGTCCCCAGCGCTTGGAGATAAGTTAGAGTAGTTTTTATTCCAATGGCAGGTAGAACAGGTCACAGTACGGCCAAAGGTTATAGACCCATCAGCCTTACTTCATTCTTACTTTAAACTATGAAAAGACTAATCGATGCTTACCTCAGATCATTACATAGTTTCGCTAAACTATCGAGTGCTCAACATGCATATTTCAAATTGAAGTCCACGAAAACGGCACTACATGAGGTAGTTACCGTGGTGGAGAAATCTCTTGGATGTAAACAATTTACTTTAGCCGCCTTCTTTGATATAGAAGGTGCTTTTAATAACGTCAGTGTGGAAGTAATTCAGGAGGCTCTCAGCGAAATGAGCATCCCGGCCTGTATCTCTTGCTGGATTGAATCAATGCTTGGGTTCAGAATCATCAATGCTAAGATAGGCAATCTAAGCATTAAGAAATGCTTCAGGAAAGGTACACCACAAGGGGAAGTGTTATCTCCCTTATTATGGATTTTAACAATGAACTCACTGCTTCTAAGGCTTAACCAGGGTGGAATCAAAGCAGTGGCGTATGCGGATGATGTTGTCCTTTTGGAAACAGGTGTGTTCCCTTCGGTGCTGACTAACATCATGGGAGGCGCTTTTCAGAACCTTAGTAAATGGGCCTTAAAGTGTGATGTAGGTGTCAATCCTTCTAAGACAGAACTGTTATTGTTTACTAACAAATATAAAATTGCAAATTTTCAATTGCCAAGATTAAGTGGCCAAAGATTAACTCTTTCGCACAAAGTTAAGTATCTAGGAGTAATTCTGGACGGAAATCTTAACAGGAAAGGCAACATTGACGAAAGAATTCGCAAAGCTCGTGTGGCATTCTATGCGTGCAAAAGGATGTACGGTAAGAACTGGGGATTGCAGCCCAAAGTGATTCTCTGGCTGTACACAGCCATCGTTCAACCAATTCTAACTTATAGATGTCTGGTGTGGTGGCTTTCGTTGAACAAACAGTACATTGTTCAAAGACTAACTAGAATGCAAAGATCTACTTGTGTGGGAGATACGGGGGCTCTAAAATCATGCTCCACCAGTGCGCTCAATGTCATTAACTTAACTTGCTACCCATTGATATTTACATCAAGCAAGTTGCTACACTAAGCGCGCAGAGGCTTAAACATCTAAACTGTTGGCGCTCGATTGCTTTAGGACGGGTCTAAAATGGATGAGGGCGTTGCAACCGGAATCTTTTCTACGGACCTAATGATTAGTAAAGTATACCATCTTTCAGATTCCACCGCAATATTTCAGGCTGAAGTGATTGCCATCCTTAGGGTAAGTGTTTTTACTTTAAACAGACAGCTATTAAAGTCATATCAGCAGTCTGTTTGTCATCGAAATTAGTGCAAGAATGTAATACGGCGTTTACATTGGCCGAAAATGGCTCATTTTGGTCAAAAATCGAAAATGAGTAACGAATGGCTCATTCTTGCATATAAAATTTCAAGCACAAAAATGAGCAATTTTCTCACATTCTGTATGAATGACGTTCGAATGCATTCCACATACGTTCCAAATGCAAAGGAATCCATTGAACATACCCTAAATGAAAGCTCTTCATGGCATTTTGACAGTTTGAAAAAGCTGTTTTTAACATATTTACAAAAAAAGGTAAACAAATGTTTGGTGGTTGCATTTTCTTGAAAACGATGCACTGCTTTTTAGAACTTTTACTTCCCAAAAAGTAATTAATCGAAGTTAAAAATATGTTTTAAGTTTCTAATGTAAGGTTTGAAGGCATATTTAACCTTCATGCAAAATTTTTTTGGCACAGGCCAAAAATCAAATCAACATGCAAGTTGAAAAATCAGCTGTTGAAATGAGAACAAATGAAATAGAACGAATGTAAACACTTTCAAATGGCTCATTCAAAATGAGCCATTTTCGGCCAATGTAAACGCCATATAAGGAAGTTATCAATGAACTAATATGGCGTTTACATTGGCCGAAAATGGCTCATTTTGGTCAAAAATCGAAAATGAGTAACGAATGGCTCATTCTTGCATATAAAATTTCAAGCACGAAAATTAGCAATTTTCTCACATTCTGTATGAAAGCCGTTCGAATGCATTCCACATATGTTCCAAATGCAAAGGAATCCATTGAACATACCCTAAATGAAAGCTCTTCATGGCATTTTGACAGTTTGAAAAACTGTTTTTAACATATTTACAAAAAAAGGTAAACAAATGTTTGGTGGTTGCATTTTCTTGAAAACGATGCACTGCTTTTTAGAACTTTTACTTCCCAAAAAGTAATTACATGCAACATGCAAGTTGAAAAATCAGCTGTTGAAATGAGAACAAATGAAATACAACGAATGTAAACACTTTCAAATGACTCATTCAAAATGAGCCATTTTCGGCCAATGTAAACGCCATATAAGCGAAAGGTCCAAGGTAACTCTAGTCTGAGTTCCCGAGCATTCGCATATTGTGGGAAATGAGCGTGCTGACGAGCTTGCTAAACTAGCCGCCTCTTCCACGGGTACACCTATTTCGAACCCTGCCCCTGTCAGCTATGGTCGTAGGCTGATTTATGACCATTACTTGCGTCAGGCAAATAGTGGACCCTTACCGCCTCAGCAGCCAGGTCAAGGGCTACGTGGCCAATCTATTCCAAATATAGAACCTCTAACTTAATCTGTAGAAACAAATCTGAGGTATCTAGGATATTTGTTTTTACAGGACACTGGTCCATAGAACGGCATGGAACTAGGCTCGGCCTACCCTGTGGTACTTCTTATAGTGCGTGTTTACCAGCTCTTGAGGAAATGACAGCAGAACACCAGATGTGTCTTTGTCCAGATCTGACCAGAACTAGATTTAAGTTTCTAGGGCCTCCTTTTTCAATTCACTTATCGATATCAGCATTAGCCAGCATCAGCATTAGCCAGATTCTTGCCTTTGTTAATACCTCTGACTGGTTCTAGTTTGACCTTCTATTTACTACCTACTATTACAAGATTTTTGTGGATTCAAAACGGCTTTCCTTTTTCTTTTAGCTAATTGAGGAGGATTCGTCCACCTTAACTAACTAACTAAAATGTTTGGCCAGTATACAATTACTGGCCTAGATAGAGAAAATAGTGTTTTGCGTACATTTCGGCTAGTATAGGCCAGCAACTTGCTGTTTTTTGCTATACTTGCGAGCCACCGAAAACACATATTTTCACATATCAATGCTATACTGACATTTGACGTAACATTTGTATTTTCACTTATAAATTCACTTATTAAATATAAATTTATTATTTGCAAACAAAGTTCAAAATACATCAGCTATTTTATGTTAATGCGAATGTTCTGTAATTTTATAAAAAAAATCAGAGAATAAATAAAGTTTTGCTTCAGTGGGCGCATTGCCTGTTGAGCAGCAAGATTGAGCAGCTGGGTGTATAGTTAAGAAAAATATTTGTTTTAATGTTACATAAATGATATCGATAAATTTAAACTACTGAATGAAAAAATTATATCACAAACGTTTTATAACTTTGATAAGTGAGAGGTTTTCTTAAAAATAAAAGTAAAAATGCAAGGCCTTGGTCTTCAAAGTATCAAAAAAAATCCTGCGGTATGGTTGTTTATAAATATTTGTTATATATACAAAAACTTTTTTTCTAAGCATATTTGCCATTTCATGTGCATTAAGGTTATATAAAAGTGTTTTTTGGTGACGTTATTTAAACTCCCTAAATAATTCATAAAGAAGCTTATGTATATTTAGTTAAATTAAAAAATATGATATTTTGTATTAAGAACAGGCAGTTTTTGCAATAATTTGTATTTATTTACAGTTGATTCCGCTCTACGTTTGTGTTGCTGCAGGAGCAATCGGTGCTGTGTACTATACAGCTCGCTTAGCAACTAGGAATCCTGATGTAACATGGAATCGTAATTCTAATCCAGAACCTTGGCAAGAATATAAAGATAAACAGTACAAGGTAAATATTTTAAATAAATGTCGAACAATTCGTAAACTTCAATATACATATACTTTACAGTTCTATTCACCTATAAGGGATTACAACAAATCACATAGCCCAGCTCCTAAATACGAAGAATAAATTTAAATATGATAATTTAAATAGAATTATTAGTTTAATAACATTGTAACTCATCTTGAAAAAAACTTTTCTGTAATAGATAGTTACAAATATATTATGGCTCGAAAATATTTGTTTATGACTCGTCTTCTGAAAATATATTAGGGACTCCAGCAGTATCCCTTCGAATGAATCATTGAACTCTGCAATTTTAAGAAATCTATAAGCGAAAATGCTTATTACTACTCAGAAAAATAAATATCATTGGGGACCTAAGTGCATAGAATTCCTTGGAGCAGTTAATATACTATAAGTAGTTACAGCTTTTTTGTTTATAATTATAAATTTAATTGTTTATAATTAATGTACGCAAAAAAACAGCACTATTTTCTCTATGTAGACCAGTAGTTGTTTACTGGTCTATCACTTCGGCCAATGTCTCGCTTAGCGAATATAAACCAACACTTTGCCACACTTGCAAACCACCGAAAACGCCTATTACTGTTATGACACATGTATTAATATCTCGCTATATGTATAGATATATTTGGGAATGTCTTTAAAACATTTAGAGCTTAAGAAATGATACGGTTAAATTTTACAATCATTAAAGAATGAACTTTGGTTCTAGGCAAAACAGACATTATTTTTATAGCATTTAATCAGAGATAATTAGTATACTGAAGCAAATGTGCTATATTGTCTGTGCCATAACAAGTCTGCTATAAATCAATCCACATATAGAAGTTTAACCAACAGTGCTTCAATGGACGCTGTAATAAATCCAGATTGGCAGGTGACACTAAATTTTTTATTATAAGCTTGGAACAATAAAAAATTGTGCACACATACATAACACAAGCGGCTATACTATTTAAACATGTTCGACTGGCAATCTAGTTGTTTATGATTTATTTTCGGATGTTTAACTTGATTAGAGCATTCTACACCCATATATTCTGACGATATGAAACTAAGATTTTCTACCTTAAGATCTTTTTCCACGCAACAGTCTAGAAGAACTACCGCTTAATGTTGTAGTAGCCTGTAGGTATCTATGAAGCATGAAAGAAATAGCAACTACGAATGCATGCTTTAGGATACGTTTGGGTAAAGGAAGCGTGAAATAGGAGGATATTGTTTGGAAACAAGAGTGAATTATAAATACGTTCGATATTAATTCAAGCTAATCTAGATCGAAGCAAAAAAAACCCACCCACAGAGAAGCCATTTCAATAGAACGGGGCTAAAAATCAATTAGACTTAAATTGGTGAGCTAGGACAGTTCTTGTTGCACGGGGAAATCAGCGCTTGTCAAGAAGCTATTAAGTGGAGGCCTATTAAGAGCTTTGTTACTATTTACTCATTGTATTGAAGAGGAATCTGCATCTGTACGTGGCTGTTAGTCCACATTTATATTTCACCTTGATGTTGTCTCCATTGCAATAGGTTTTAAGGTATACATAATACGAAAAAAGGGTACAACGGATGCATATTGGAGGAGGGCTCTACTGAACATGTTTTCATTGTATAGCACGCAATTATATATTGCTGCTTAATAGTAAGCATTATGGATTCCGCATGATGGTCAATTTGCGACAAATGATGACAGGCGGTCCAAACCGCAAAACTGTTTTGTCTTGCTTGGGTATTATTCTATTGTCTTTTGCAGGGTTGTTGGATCCATATATAGGACAGTAAGGTTTATCTTTACCCATACGCAACCTGTGCGACATTATTGCGAGACTGCAGCCGACAGCAGCTTGCCGTGCACATGAGAGGAAAACACCAACATACGGTATAAAAAAAGAACCCAACTTTTTGTTTTGGTAGTAGTGAATATTCTGACTTCACCAATGTCAAGGAGAAAAGTTAAATATACTGTTCGGGAAGTGATGTGGCTGGCAGAAGATTTTGTTATTGTTAACTAAAGGTTTCTATAGCCAAGGAATGAAGTTATATGTGGAGGTATACATTTGTATTGTTGCACAATGTTGTGGGGTCCTGATTCTTAGCTAGAATTGTGCAGTTGTCGTCCTAAAAAGGGGTATACTATCACAATTACCACCAGCACATTTATAAGTTATCCACAACAATTAGGGTAAATGACAATGGCTAACATAATTGCTGAATAATCTGTTTTCAGTAACAAAATCGGGCATCAGCGACGACAACTCACCTTAAAGGTATCACCTTAAAGGTCGAACAATTGATTTAGAGACCTTTTCCACTGTTGCGCATATGAGTATACCTGATTACATATATTGCACTTGATCGTATTAACTAATAAATTCAATTTTATTTGAGATGTGAGTATACTAAAAAGCATAGTCTAAAATGACACCACTGCATACATCTTTACATTGCCATTTATTATTAATAGTAACCAAGTTTCAACGTAGTCTTCTAATTAGACATATTTAAATTTTATTAAAAAGACAAATTTGCTACTAAAACAGGAAATACAAATGAAAATAAAACTCCAGTAAATATTCCTGTAATTAGCATAGCTGCAGCAAACATTCCTGCTGTCAATTGATATTTCGAAGGCACTGTTTGCGGTGCATACATCATACCAAGCGAACTAAAATATATACTTTATTAATTGAATTTGTCTTATGAAGTGATTAGTACAATTTACCTCAAATATCCGGAACTAAACGACATTGTAATTGCAATAAACCAATATATCCATTCATTAGTTATAAACACGGGTAGTACACGAACAACTCCTTTTGGTAGGTAATTACAGAATACAAATAAAGGCAAGAATACAGCTCGTAATACAACAGGTACTACCAAATATTTAGAGCTTGGCTAAAATTATTTATATGTTTTTTCTTTCTTAAAGCAAATAATCAGTTCTCATAAATTACCCATTTGACCCATGAAGTACAGAGACTTCCCAGCATAGCAAATAAATTAAATGTTAAAAAACACGTTATTGACGTAAAAAGTTCTGATGGAATGAAGAAATCAGTGTTAACAAGTCGAATGTCTGTAATTAACAATATTTTTCTTAAAAATATGTTATTAATATTTAATTTCAGTATTGTAATTACCTGAGTGTATTGCAGGAAACACCGATAATGTTACAAAAAATGTGAAAAATATATTAAAAAGTTGAGGTCCCGCAAGTTTAAAAACTGTCCAGTACGGGATTTTTCCAACACTAACGTTAGATTTTTTGTTTGCATCTTTTTCACGTAAAGATTCATAGTATCTATAGAATTTCTGAAAAAATGAAATAAAAGTTATAAATTTCTAGGAAAAATTTAAATCTAAAATAATATATTATTCCGAATATTTGGTATGGTTCTTGTATATTAATAAAAGCAGATAGAAGATAGATAGAAGCATAAAAAACAACAAATAGTACAACTATTTGGTAATAAAGAAGAATTCAGATGTCCTAAAATTCGCAATGGAAGTACAGTCAAACTTCCATAACTCGAAGTACCATTTTGCAAAGAAAATGTTCGACTTATGGAGACTTCGAGTTAGAGATTTTTTTTTTATTTTTGAAAGAAATTAGAATTACATTTTAAGATATTTATTTATTTATTTGAGATCAAATACAGCACAGAAGTTATAGTGAAGTAAATTATTCAGAAATTAGGGCTTGGAATTTTAATTTCTTTTTCTTATTTTTGGTAAAAAGAGATTCCAATTTATTCCAAGCCTTATAGTGATCATCAGTTGGAGTATCATTTGTTTGTAAATAAAAATTCAGAATTTTAAATGAGTCTTCTGAGCTTAAAATCGGATCCACTGATACAGAGCTATAACGATCTATATTATCGTCATCTATAGGAAAACTTGATGTACAAATTTCATTGTCAAGCTCAATATAATAGTTAAGAGATAAGTTATTTTGTTTACTTTAAACCACGCTCCCAGCGACTGGCATTTGCACAAAAAAGCAACGTAAGAAAAAAAATATTAAACATTTGGTTTGGAAAATTGATTCATACTTAAAATAAAAATTTGATTTATGAATACACTTTCCCACATTTCTATTGGCACATAACATAGATCGTTTGTTTTGCTACTCTTTACGATAAAATTACCGTTATTGCGACTGTTTTTTGAACACATGCCATGAAAGTTCGCAGAAATATTGTGCATTGAATGTTATAAATAAAACAATAAAGTATGTTTCTAATAAATTGATTTTTTCGGAAAATATTTTCAAACAAAGTTTTTTTACTGCCTGCTTGTAGACTTATGACTCCGACTGTAAGTGTTTATGAACTCAAAGCTCTAAATAGTTTTTTGCAATTTTGTCGTAAATAATTTTGCAATGTGAAACGGCTATAAGAATTTAAAAGACATAAATTATACTTACATTTAATGGCAGTGCAAAATATGTGTCAAAACATACAAGTAAAACCAACATCGCTGTTATGAAATAGTAAATTGCTCCTGTTTTAAGTGATGAAAACATATATGAACTACAAATTTGCATAATTGTAGCAAAAAGACCGCTTATATTAGACCCTAACACAACTGCTCCAGTATATTTAATAGGAAGTGTTGCTACCATGCCATAAATTGTATTTTGATATATACCATTTGCCACTGCAGAAGAAATAAAATTTAGAAATCAAAAACTTAAATATTTATGTGTTTCTAACTTACTATTTAAAATGATAACAGTTATCATTGTAATATAAAAGAATGTACCAGGCCAACTGGCCGTATCCAGCATAGCAAGCACAACCGTTATAATAAACAACACTATTTCTACTAATATGCTGTACACAATACGTTTAGTTAAGTCTCCACTAAATAAATTAAATATTGTAAATTTACTAACAGATCCTTATTTTGAATTTTTATATAAAGAAGTAATGATCCAAAGTATTCTAAAGTATTAAAATTTTCATCTCATCTTGGTAACATTTTTAGTTTTACATTATATCATAGTTTAAATATTTTAAAACCAATTTTAAAATTAAACAAACAAAAAAATTAAAAGTTGAAAAATTTTGCTTTTTAATACAAACTTAATATTGATTACCCTAAATTGACGAAAACGTTTAACCAGTTAAAAATAAGATTTGGGATTTGTGATGCAAAACTTATATATTGCATAAAATTAGAAGCATAAACGGTATGAGTTGTATTTGTTCCATTGTGTGTACTTAATTTATAATCGACGAAATACTACAGAAATAAAAAAAACCAAAAAATGTTTAAATATTTTACATATTCAATAATGATTTTATAATGCATACACTTTTAGCTGTAATAAACATATTCCAAGGCGTTAATGTACCCAGACCATGAATAATAAAAATAAAAAATACAATCTTCCATTTGTCAATTGGAGGTTTGAGGAACTGCGTTGCCTTTGTAATTGTCATACCTAAAAATAAATATTAAATAAATAATTGAATTATAATTTGATTTATACTACTTGTTAATCACAATTATATTAATTTTTACAACTTCAAACTGAACTTAAAAAATTTTATTGTTCTCACAAGTAAATACTTACTCTTTAAACTAAATTCTTAATAACTAAAAGTTTATAAAAAAAATTAATTTCGAATGACACATATAGGGATATTCTATAAAGTGTAAATCACGAATTTTTATTTACAATAAAAATTAACTACAATCAATGGGTAAAAACTTTCAATGCGCAAGCATATAAATATAGAAATGCAATTATTCTTTTGAGAACCTTAAATATTTTATTCTATGTATCTCAAATTAAATATAAAAATTTTTAAATATTAATATATTTTAAATTAGTATCTAAAATATAAAAATAAAAAATTTCATTAAACACCAGATACCTCTATTAAAATGTACAAATAAGAGAACAGTAATTATTTGTTACAATTTGTATTAAGAATAATTGTTTTTATCTAACACAATTAATGTTTGCATTTTTTCTAAAACGTATACAGCATAATCTATTAAATCCTTTATTTTGTTTATTTTGTTTTATATTATACATTATTCTCTAATAAATTTCATTTATTTAAGAACGTGCCAAATTTTTTGACTTTCAAAAATGAAACCTTAAACAATATAGCCATAATAACAATTACAGCAATAATTTATATAATACAAAAAATTAAAATTATTTTAATAAATATAAAAATAATGTAAAGTTTATAACCAACACATGAAAATCATTATTATAAATAAAAAAAACTTAAAATAACCTTCACAAAATAGTTATGTTGCATATGAATTATTTTTATTTACATATTAAATTTAATTTTGGTTTAATTTTAAATTTAGTTTTCATGGTAAAAGTCAAATTCTTCAATTATTTGGTATTATTGTCATCTATTAATCTACTTTATTTCTTTAGATTCAATTAACTCAAAAACTAAAAATAAACTTATCGATAATCTTTCTTAAAACAAGACACGCATTCATCATGTGATGATGATTCAGAATATATAAATATATATACAGTTTATATCAATTTTTGTCAACCCAAAATATAATGTGGACCAGAAAAATATTCAACACGGTTAAAATATACACTCGCCAACACCCAGGGTCATTAAAGAGTATCAAGAAATATTATATTACTCATAAATGACGCTGTTTGACAGCATTATTTATTAGAATAATATATATGAGAAAATAATACCGTAAATTTATAAACGACAATTAACAGATATGATAATTTCGCTAATAGTTCATCATACAAATTAAATTAATATGTAATTTTGTTTTAAATTTTTGAGTCGTTACGTCAAAAATGTTTTAAAGTCAGTTTTTTGTATCTCTACACGTGATACACAAAATAAAACGTGCGAAAAGTTAAAATATCAATATATATATATATATAATATTTATTCTCAATAATATAAAAAGTATTAGTCTGCAACAACAATAACAATCACATCATATTTTTCCCATTCATAAATATACAACAGAATGTACATAAGCGTTATTTTATGCAAAAAAAAAAAAAACATTTTAAACTTATTATGAAAGTTGCACACTAGACCGAAATTTTAAAATCCAGGTGTTCACCTAAAGAAAGTCAGTACTGTTAGCAGTAAGATGCCAGTATTCTACTCTGTTAAAATCGAAACTTTCGGTATAATTTTTGTTGAGATTAACTTTAATTTAAGCTCTTCAAAAATTATTTATATAATTATTGATAGGTTTAACAAATGAAGTATATGGTTTTCTAATAACCATAACCATTACCAATAATAACAAAATATATATTTTTTAATTTTTGGAGAATATGTTGGCATATCAAAAACAATATTTGTATCTATGACTAATAGGTTAAATTAGTGGTGGATACATTGAATAGAAAACAGAATTAAACATTCAAAATCGTTAATACAGTCAAACTTCCATAACTCGATCTTCTATAATTCGTATTTTCTATAACTCGAACGAAAAACAGTGCACCAAGGTTCTAGAGAGCAAATTACAAATTCTGCTTCTATAACTCGAATTTCTCTATAACTCGAACAAAAATTTTGTTCCGTGCCCACAGTAATATGGGAAAGTGCATTCTATAAGTTGAATTTTGTTTTAAGTATGAATCGATTATACGATTATTAAACGATTATTTTGAACTTGACAATGAAATTTGTATGTCAAGCTTTCCTACAGACGACGACATTATTGAGCACTATAGCTCTAAATTACTGAATCCAATTCTAAGCACAACGGAAAGTAATGATGAGAGTTCGGTGGATGCAATTGTTTATCAGCCTTCCAAGAATGAAGTAGCAGACTCATTCAAAATTCTGAATTTATATTTGCAAACGAATGATACTACAACTGATGATTACCCTAATTTCTGAATAATTTACTTCACTATAGCTTCTGTGCTTTATTTCATTGCAAATAAATAAATATTTAAGATATAATGTGATTCTAGTTTCTTTCAAATATAAAAAAATTCTCTAATTTGAAGTTTCCATAACTCGAACCTCTTCTTTGCAAAATTGGACTTCGAGTTATGGAAATTTGACTGTATATGCAACTAATTAAAGCGATTATGTATGTTGATACATAATTTATTTTAATACGCAACATAATACATAACATTTAAAATGTGCATCACTATCGCAGTTCGATTAATAGTTATAATCTAAATTTTATACTCAAATAAAATTAAAATATATATTAAAAAACTATCTATCTAACATATACATAAGAAAGAACATATAAATAATGTAACAAATAATGCCTCTACAAACAAAGTAGTATTGAAATTTAACAATATTAAAAATAAAAATATGATTAATTAATTTAATTATTCTACAGCTGGTTTATGATTTCGTTCTAATATAAGCACAGCAAGTAAATTTGTTAATAAAAAAAAACTTTCACAGCAAAGTAACAAATCTCCAGAAAAATGTGCGAACATAAAAGTCAAGTACGGCTTCGGTCAGGTGCGGTGACTCTGATTTTTAAATTTGGCAGAACACGAGTTCAATTCCTGGTACTTGCAGTTTCAAAAAATTATTAACGATTAATTAAATACAAGAATTATATGCAAGACCACTGATGATAAGTATTTGGCAATACTTGAAACAACTGTATGGTCAAAAATTCAATTAATTAAAATAACATAAAATATATTTTTGTTAATGTAGTTCACTACTGTTCGAAAATCCTCTTTAAAAAACTGTCCAAATTGATCACATATACTTGCGAATGACGAAGAAAAATCATATTTGAGTATATATAACAAAATAAGGATATAGTCAAGCGATTTCTATTATTTTAAAAAATCTTCAAGATACGCTCTTTAGTATATATAAAACATTTTATTTGTCTATTACGAAAGCTAAGACTCATTTGTATTGAAACAGACAGACAGACAGATAGACAATGTAGAATGATATCTATTTTACTGCGTTAAAAAGATATTAACAAACTTAATTAAACATTATTGTAATTACTATGAATGATATTAAAATAATGAATTAATTCTTTATACGAAAATGGCAAATTTATACAAACCTTTGTTATTGGGTTCATCATTAGAAAACCTCCGTCCATCCCAGGAAGGTGTAAGCACCACCGGTTTTTGGGTTGAAAGAAATGGTAAACTCTCCCCTTCATGCTTATCTAAATCAAGTACATTAAGATCTTCATTTATTTTGTTAACTTATATTTTTCTACTTACAATTTTTCATTGTTTTAAAACTTTCGAATAGCTACAACGAAGTGTACAAAATTGAAATAATTGTAAAAAATTTAGATTTCACTTAAATCTTAAGTAGCTATTATTATCAATTTCAATATCAACAATTGTAAAATTTTGATTTCACTTAAGATTAGCTGTAGCTATCGATGTCTATATCTGTAATACAAGGAAAAATCACATGGTAATTGATTCTGTTATCAAATTAATATTGGGTAGTAACGCGCACAAGTAGCTAGTTAACTCTTCTCGCTGTTTTGTAAGAATACTTCATACTCTTATTGGTCAAGTGCATGTGAACATTTGAAATTCATTACTTCATATTAAAATTTTTATATAAATTAATATTTACATTTTTGTTTTAAACCCTTATAAAATAATAACCAGAATTTTATGTGCATATAATCTCTTTTTAGTATGTACATTATATCAAAACAACTCTAACATAATTTTTTATACCGTATGCATTTCAAGATAACAAATATATATATATATATATATATATATATATGTACATATATATTATATCTATACAAATAAAACAATTATCAAATTAGGTTTGGCACCAAAATACATAATATAAGCAAATTGGAACATACTATTTATACACATTGTATACGTAATATATAAAACATGTTAATTTTAATACTTTAATATTTAAGTACTTTAGTGAATACCTAATATTGTCCAATCTTTGTGTTCTACTCAATTTAATTAATACTATTTTTCTGAAGCTTTTTTTTATGTTATTAAACTGTATAAATTCGGTAGCAAAATAAATGTTTCACGTGCGCCGAGATATCTTCGCCGTTAAATTCAATGTTGAATTGAAACGAATGGTCCCGCATAAAACATGTCGAAATAGTAAATTTACAAAAATTCCTAAATATTTAGTATTATTCCTCTACCGATAATTAAGGAAAAAACAAATACATCAACTGAAAGCTGAACCCACATGTATTGATTGAGCAATAAGCCACTAAGTGCTGAAAAATTAAAAAAAAAATTTAAATAAAAAATTGTTTAGGTAGATAGACTTAATTTGTATAAAATTTTTCACCAATACAGAATATTGAGACCAAATAGCATTGACAGATGAGTTTACAAATGATCATTAATACTATAGGAGTATTTAGATGTTCGTGGTTAACTCGGTATTCTGTGATAAAATTACAAACGTTTGAACGGTGCTTTTACCGTAGCTGATGTTTTACCGAATACTGACAAACATTATCAAACCTACATCAGACTGCATTCGTTAACTCGATATAAATGAAATTACGATAGTTACATATATCATCTCAATTTTTTTTTCAAATGTTTGTATTAATGTTTTGCCGGTTTTATTACCATATTCTTTTTAAAAAAACTTTCTTAAGACAAAATAAAGGAGTACTTGAGATTCATGCTAAATAAAGCAGTATCTGGTTACAGCAAACTAAAATGATCATATTAAAAAAGTTGTTAGTATCCTGACAGACAGTACTAATTATTATTAAAATTAATCATGAATCAGCTGATTAGTTAATATACGTCTTTTATTAGTCTTTAGTTGTCTAAAAAGCGAAGGCAAACCGCTTGTCTCCGTCCACGCATGTCTGTATAGTATTATTAATGTTATCATTCGATATCAAAATTAGTCTACATTGGATGGACTTTAGTAGAATTTTAATATTCGATTATTTTGAAATATATATGCATGAAATTCTTCTTCTTATTCTAAATTACTTCATATATAAATTAGTTATAAATTAGTTAGATTCACATATATGCTGTAAAATATTGTAGTCTTTATTGTAGCTACATTGTTTTTAGAAAAAATGTCAAAAATTTTCAAGTTTCGATGTAGATATATATATATATATATATATATATATATATATGTGAGCATAATAAACTTCTATCATAATTTTTGTTGATATTTTTGGTTTATAAAATATAAAATTTTACCACTGTAATATTTGTTCCATTCCATGTGTTTCATTGTTTCACACACGTGCAGCATGTTTCCAGTAAAAAGATTTATGTTTTGTGGCAAACATGACCGGGGTGAACGTTGATTTAAAAAGACTCAAATCATTTAAGGAAGATGTATTGCAGACTTATTTGGATGTATTTGAGGATACTCCGCTTTCCGTAAATAAAATTAAATTATTAGAATAAAAATACGAATTTATAAGTATTTGTTTAGAATATGCAGCATGCAGATTTGGTTATACGGCAGATAACATCACTTCTATCCGATAAAAGTACACGTTTGCTTGGGATGCGTTGTCTTCAAAAGGTTTTAAATCAGTTCACTGCAGAAATGCTTGAACCAAAAGCTATGTTATGGACATCATTAATTTTGAAAGATCTATCCTCTCACGAATTTCCGGCCAACGTAGATATTGGATTTGCTGTAATAGGTAAAATAGTTTAAACATAATGTTAATAACGATATATTCAAATATTTTTATAAAGGTATGATTGCCACTGGAATGAAACAATCATCAGACCTGTCAAAGTCTTTCGGCAGTAATTATATTGGAAGTATTCTAGAAACTTGTTCAAAAGTTTCATCACAAAATTACTTGTCTTCTTTAAGATGTTTAGAAATCTGCCTGCGATTATATCCTGAATATAGCGGTCCACATAAAGAACTTGTGCAAAAATACGTTAGTAACTTTATGGATATGACTAACAAAAAATTAACTATACAAAGTGGAAAATGTACACTTCTTTTACAACAAGTTCGTGCCAGAAATGTAAATAACTTCAATCTAAAGACTCAATGGAAGAATTATCAACTGAATTTATTGAAATCGTTACAAGTGGTTATTAATCTAATAAATCCAAGTAATTTAAATGTTGGTGCTATATATCTTGATGAAGAATCTTTTGCACCAAAATTAAAATTAAGTGCAGAACCAATACAACGCAGTATTGAAATTTTTACCCGTTTCAGCAATTTAGCAAATTATTTTGTTATAGCTTTAAGGTGACATGATCGTAATTGAAATAATTATTTTAATTTAAATATCTCTCTTTAGTGAACCATATCCCACCGAAAAACCTGTTATGGTAAAAAAGGTTTTTGATTTAATAGATGCTGGATTAGTTACTGGTTTTAAAGTTCTTCAAAATAATGCGATGTCCGAAAATTTCTTAAAAATTTTGTTGCCTGAAATTTTTTTAAAACTGATACAAGTCCTCGAGTCATTAATTAAAATGTAAATATCCATATTATTTTATTGTATGAAGTAAGGCTTTGCTTTACATATTTTTATCATTTCAAAATAGATTACAAGGTCATCTCAAAGTTTATTATCATAAAGTGTTTGAGATATTCTCCAGCATTTTAAAAGTAACATCTAATGAAAAGGAAACTTTAAATTGCGAACGATTCAAGTATGTATATTTTTAGCAAAGATGTTTACTTTAATGGTTATTACAAACTTTCGTTGATAATATAGGTCTGTGCGAGTAAAGATTTACAATGTCATTTCTGGTTGGTGTTCTATGTTTGGGAATGGAAGCCGTTGTGAAGTAATTGCACATACTGTAATTGAAAATATTTTTAAAGATGTGATCCCGATGCAATTCGAAACTCTGATAAAAGTAAGTATTAAAATTTTATTGAAATATATTTTTTGATTTATAAAATCAAATATAATAAGTCTGTTGTGATGTTTACTCCTCAACCATTTGGTATTTGTTTCGAATCTCGTTAACCTTCATTCTCTCGGTTATTATGTATTGAACATACGCGATTAACGCGATTAACATTGAATACTTACGCAGAATGTACTTAACGTTCTTTTTCAGTTCAAATGTAGCTTTTGCAAGTTTCATAGCTCTTTGTGCATCTACCAATTAGATAGTATGATACCGTGTTTCAGAATAGATATAGATAAAATAGAATAGATTTCTCTATTAATTCTGGTGTATGTATTTCGATGTTCAATCTTTTATATCTTTATCTTCATTCAAATTTGAGTTGTTTACAACTTGTCCTGCATCATCGACATTTAGTCAGGATTGCTATAGTGTAATTGCAATGCTAAATACATATGTATTCTAATATTTATGTGTAAAAACATTGATTTTATTTTATTTTTTTTTTTTTTTGTATATTTTTAGGTAACAAGCAGTTCATCCAAAGCAAAAAATACTCAACAACATAAACAAAATAATGACAATTTAAACACAAAAAAAGGTCACATTGAACTTTGTATAAGTGCATTGCGTTGTTTGGAGCAAATATTATTTTCATCCTCAAACTTTCTTGAACTGGATACATTTAAGGTATATTAATTATTGTATTAATATGTATATATTTGTCTAACACTATAGTTCCCTATCTAGGCTGTACAACTACATATTTTAAATACTTGTGCGAAATTTTATGAGCTGCCATTTAAACATAATAATGTATATTCAAATTGGACGTGTCGTTATGAAATGTGTAATGTTTTAAAAACTATGTTTGTAATGGCACATCCATTATATCCACCACCAACGGAAATGGTATTTCATATTTTAAAAAACGCTTTTATTAAAGATGATTCCCAAAAAGTTCGAAACTACTGTGGTGAAATTTTAATGAATTTTGAAAGAATTGTACATCCACAAAAGGAAAGTTTAGCTTTTACAGATGTAGGAGATCGAAACTCAAAACTAATACTACATAATGAATTCGTATCAGCGAGGGCAGATAATATAAACACAAAATCTTATTTCCACAAATCTACTATGACAGAAAGTAACAATGATTTGGAAAGTGATTTTCTAAATAATGAAGCTAATACAACAAGTTTTGAAACAAATTCTGATATTCAAAAACTTACCACAAGAGAAAACAACATAGATTTGACAAGTGATGCACTAAATAATGATGAAGACAAAAATATGACTCTGAATAAATTAAATGCCGTTAAAGACTTCTCGATTGAGTCCAATCAGGGTGAAATTCCTAATGTTAATACTAATGAAGTTGAAAATCTTGATCAAACAGTTCAAAATATAAGTTTTATTCCTGTACAAACTAGAAAAATTGACTCTCCTAATAACGATACCAAAAGAATTAAATTGCAAAGTAATGATACAAGTATAAGCAAAGATACATTTAACACTATAATTGAAGATGATAACTGCAGTTTAGACTCTATTGAAGCAGCCTTTGTAGACGAATTAAATTAATTAAACAGCATCTTTTTATTTATTTCATGTTAAATAATTGTAATATCTTAATAAACCTAAATATTTTTCTCTGTACTTATAAAGTAATGTCATTGTCACACATTTGTCTTACAAGCAAATGAGATCATGTCGGAAAAAGGAAATAGTCAGTTGGTGATAAAGCAATAAATTATATAACGGTGTACTTTTTTGTTCTTGTAAATCTATCTGTAAACTGATATAAATAAAACTGTAAAAAAATTTTTTTCATATAATAAAGCTTTTTTAATTATTATTACTAGGTACGTGGCACTGAAAAGTGGTAAAAGGCCTTTACCATGACTGGAAATTAATTTTTTGTATTTTGCTCTACTTTCCAAAGTTATGGTGGAAAAAAACATTGTTCCCATTATACTAGGAATAATGCATTAAAACTGATTAAATAATCGATATTTCGGTTAATGTTTTTGTATGACTATGACTATCACTATTTATTTAAATTTGTTTTCTTGCTGCCATAGTATATTTATTATGTCGTTTTCGATTAGTAAGCCTGGGGTAACTGTTTCAATCGACATTCACTTTTAGTGCAATTTTCATTTGCGATTGATAAATCTCGAGCAAAATGTATACACTTAAGATCAATTTATGACACTCTAGATAATTATCAGAGTAAGCAAGATTAGTCAGAAATTAACAGCTGTTTTCTATGACTTAATAAATAAGGTATGATTTGTTTAGACATATGTATGCATATATGAAAAATGTGAATGTCTACTAACACTACAAAAATGTTAGATTACACTAAAAATGTCTAATTATGCAACTAATTTCACAGATCCACAGAAAATCTAGTTTGAATCCAGATTTGCCAATCAAAAACGCTTTGAGTAGTTTTGATTTTTTTAATATTTGGTTTTTAATGGTTTTTAATATTTAAAATGTTTGAAAAGAGTTAAAAATTATATACATGGGTTCCAAAAATGACCAGGTCTACATCCCAGACACACTCGTTGCCGGCGACGCACAAGTTTCGTGTGGCACCTCCCAAAAGGCTTTCACAAGCAAGTCCCAGCGGTTACAACAACAACATCTACACGCGTGAGTAAAATTAAAATATTCGTTAATATAATGAAATCATTTTAATAGTTCAATTCTATGGAATTATTATTTTTGTAGTGAAACAATTTAACTTGTTCTCATTACCAAAATGTAATCCTCCTTTTTTTATATTATGTGAGTGCAAAAGTAAATATTAAAATTAGATGAGAAATAATTTTACTTCTTTATTTAGATGTATCAAGAACAAAATTGAATTATTAAATAATCAAAAAACACATCAAGAGATAAGTAGACGACATACTTCGGAATATACCTATATATATTACATTTAGAATCGAAGCCACACGAAATCCCTAAACTGTTCAATCTACATATTTCAATTAAGTAGAAATCAGTAGTAGTAGTAGAGCAAATTGGAAAAAATAGTTAAAAGTTTTTCGAAAGAAGTTTAAAAGATAAAACAAAACACAGTTTTTGCTATGTGGAACAAAAGTCTTTCAGTAAAGTATTATCATTTGTAATTAGTGGTTTAAAGTTATTTTGGGCTATTGGATTTATATGGGAAATCAATGACAGCTGTTAATCGCTACTTCATCTAACTTAACAATTTTATTTAATTACGAATGTGGTGAAAACCCGCAAGATATACTTTTTAAATTATTATTATTTATACATAAATAATTATTTACTGATTTTAACTCATGCAATGAAAGAAATGGCAGCTGCTATTGTTGCATTAAGCACAGCAATGTTAAAAAAAATTAATTAATTTTAAATTACAGATTGAATATATACATATAATAAATAAATGTTAAATATATATAATATTAATAAATATTATTATTAAAATATTTGTATAATACATATACATAAATATATATTACATTTGCGTCGTATTAAAAATTAAGTTAGATGTAAATCCATTTGTACAAATTTTCATTTATTAATAATTTATATTTTTACACATTTTATTTTAAATAAAGGAAATTTTATACACGACAAACACAAAACTTTAGCTTACAGTCGAAAGATGTGTTAGAAAAGAGTATAGAAAAGAGGTTTTAAGACAACTGCCAGAATACGAAACATCTTTCGAAAGATTTTTAACTGTAATGAGCTGAAAGATAGTTGCCAGAATTGCTCTGTATATCTGTTAAATGGAACCTAAATCGTTGTTAATATAGAAATAAGGTAATACAGTTATTTGTTGCCTTAAAAAGAACTTAGCATTCCTTCAATAACCTAAATACTCGTGAAGGTTTACCAGTCACTCTTGTACTTCACAGATATTTTTGAGTTACTCGATGATTCTCTTTTCTAATATTTGAATGCTCAGCATTCAAAAAGGAAGGTTTTTTCGCCATTAAGGTGCTAAAGCGTCTTTACATTCAAAATAATTGCGAAGAATTTTTGCCAAACCTTACATCTTTTGAGCATAGGTTTTTAAATTTATTTATAAAAGCGACTGCAGTGCAAACAAAAATTACAACTTTCTTTAAAGATAATTAATACTTATTAACCATAAATACAATGTTCAATTAATTAAAAATATTTTAATATGTATAAAATAAATACATATATTGTATAAAAACCCAAAAATTTAATTCTTTTATTTTGGAAATTTAATAAAAGTCAGGGTATATTAGATATAATTTTGGTTGCACTTTTTTAGGCAATTACGTCAGCTGCCTTCAAAATCTCTGCAAACGACTCGAGGCAGTTAAACGAATTATACTGTATTATTAAATAGTTTCTCCAGAAACCAGAGAGTAAAGAGTGTCTTTAATTTCATATTAGGAATGTATTGTTATATATGGAGTATATTAGAAGTATTTGAAATTTGAAATTTTTAAAAATTGTAAATTGTAATAAATTCCAACATTATTTAATTAATTATTAATTATTTAATTATTATAATTTACTATTTCTCTTAATTTACCATCAATTTACTGGAACACGCACATGACCTGTATTGTGTATAGCTCATAAATTAATAAATAAATATAATAAATATAATATAAATAGAATTATATATACAACATCTGTGACAGGTTCACTCCAATTTAATATTTATATTTAACATTTAATTTTATTCGCATTTGGCAGTATTTTGATGAGTTTATACAAGCTTCAAATTTATATATTTTTATTTGCTGTCAAATTTTGAATGCCTCTTTTATGTGTTATATGGTAAGCTTTCCGAAGCAGATATGTTATTAATATTTCTATTATTTGTAGTTTGTTAAGTGGATAATAAATAAAAGTGCTGTGCGATTGGATTGTTATCACTCCGATTCTTTTCGTGATAAGATAATATTATATTATTTATTTGCTAATATTTCTTGAAATTTTAATAATATAAATAAAACTATTGGTGCGTTCTGCAATATGAAAGATACCACGGATATATTATTTAAGTTAAGAGAAATCCTTAGAGGAAGTGTTTTACCACACGTTAAACTCTCGGCATACATAGTACCGTCAGATGATGCTCATCAAAGTGAATATATATGTGAACATGATCAACGAAGAGCTTTTGTAAGTGGATTTACTGGATCTGCTGGAACAGCAGTGATTACTTTAGACCAGGCTTTGTTGTGGACTGATGGGAGGTATTATCAGCAAGCTGAAAAAGAATTAGACGGAAATTGGATTTTAATGAGAGATGGTTTACCCAATACAAAGCCTATTGGACCTTGGCTAGCAGCAAATTTACCACGTGGTAGTACAGTTGGAGTTGATCCTAAGCTTATGTCTTATAGATCTTGGTGTCCAATAGACAAAGCGTTAAAAACTGAAGGTAAGTCCGATAAAAATATTTATTTATTAAAAATTGATTTAATAAAAATTGTAAAAATAAAAATTAATTTTATTTTTGTTCTTAATTATAAGGGATATTTAGAACTGTATATTATTAAAATGAAAAAACGGTATCGAAACGAACAGTAAGCATATAAAACTTTAAGTTAATGTAAATATATCTGTAAATAAATAAGTAAATGTCGATCATTTAATAACACGTTTAAATTACCGTTCTATTTTGTGTCGACAGCGATTGTTCAATTTTAAAACAAATATATTTTGATGCATTCTCTACATATAATATTGATGCATTCTCTACATATAATATTATTAGTTAAACTAAAGAGATATTTAATTCTTTTTCGTTATCTTACTTTTTTATAAAATAAATATTTTTAATATCCTTTATGAGTTTATTAGTTTACGTAGTTTATATACCATATAAATATTTTCAAAAAGCTACTATATTTAATAGGGACAATATTCCCTATTATTATCTATTGTGCTATTTTAAAATATATAGATTTATTATGAAATAAATGGAGTGTGCATCAAAAACAAAATCACTGATCACACTGTCTAGTGGTAGATGTGCTTTAGGCACAATTTTTAACTCAAATTTTCACAGCGACATCAATGAGAAGAAATAAACCAAAGAAATTCTATAAAAATGCACATATGATTTAAAATATAGTATTGATTTGATTGTTATTAACTGTTGCTAGAAATAAACAAAAATTTTTGGTTATTGCACATTTGGAGAATACACTAATAGCAGTTAAGTAGTAAACGTAAATTTAAGTAGCAAATAATAGATTATTAATATGTGTCAGTATTTAAAGTGCATAAAGCCATAAATAATAGAATTTATGAAAAAATCAAAAGTTAATTTAGTACATATTGATTCTGTTATATAGCATATAATATATAATGGGAAAAATACTATAATACAATATAATATAGTATAATACAATATGATTATCATATTATATCACAATATATCATATAGTATAATACTATATATCATATAGTATAAATCTATATATCATATAGTATCATACAATATGACACATATAGTATAAGACAATGTGATAAAAATATAAGAAATATGATAAATTAAAAAATTATCCAGTATCTTCGCCATTAATAATATTGTCAGCAGAGTACTTTGCCCAAAGTTGAGGCCAAATACTTTGCAAACATTCTTCAGCAATTCCGTCTCGGGCAGCACCATGCCCTCCGGGCAATTTACCAAAAATAATTTCGTGTCGTGTTCGAAATCGTTAAATGCAAGATTTCAAAATTTCTTTATCAATTTTTAGTTTAGTTACAAAAAAGTCAACCTGATCTTTTAATCTTGGGCCATTGATTGCAATATTAAAAATTGTTTAAGAGTTGTTTATACCAATAAATGAAGTTTACATTTTTTTTTTACTCAGGCATTCTAATATATGTAAATGCTAGATGCATAAAAGTGATGCAATTATAATACGTGTGTATGTACATATATAAATTTACATAAACGATATATAAACGATTTGTAAATTTCGTCTTATTAAGCAATTAGTCGCTTTAAGCGACGTCGTTATAATCGATTTTGACTGTAGTCAATGAATGCTTTCAAGTAATTATGGGGTGTATTATCCATCGATATAACTGATTGATAAGAATTATTCCCATAAAGTGTGCACTACACATGCAATAAAAAATTTTGTCCATTTTAACAATAGAAATTTCGTTTAAAACTCTTGAATATATCACTTTAAAAATAACAGTTCCATCATGCGTTAGCAAATCGTTTTCCATTAACCTATTTCTAAATTTTTTTATTTTTGTGAACTACAAAAGATTTATCTTCGCTGATCTCTAGCAAAGAAAAACACTTTCTGTTCGAAGGCCTTCAATCACAAATTAGTACTCTAACTGTCTGTCTGTCTAAATTTGACCCATTACAGGTTCAATTGAGAAGAACTGAAACATCTTCAAATCGTTATCTTTTTTTTTTTTGATTTTCTGCATCCATTGATGAAACAACGTTTAAAAGATAATCTGTCGTCAGTCACACCCACGTCATTATAGGATAGACTCAGTTTCATCGTATATCTACCTAGTAGGCAGCGACCTGTCAGCATCGATACCATTAGTCTGAGTAGGTACCGCTATAGTCAGATATTTTTATTTGTTTGCCACGTTAGTTGTAGCAAGAAATATATCGGTATCCGGAAAATGAATGTCAGCGGGCAGAGTAAATGCCTTCGCAAGTTCAATTGCCCTGAACTTAACTACCTCGTTAAGAGAAGTCAGTTATTTTAGATCCCTTAAGAATGTAGCTGTAACGCATACCAGATATTTGATAGAAGTTTGGAGAAGATTACAGTATTTTTATTTGGTGATCTTGTTGCATAGGAATCCATAGTGAAGTGTAGTTTATCGCTATTATTTCTATCTAAGATACAGTGTAATATTTCAGTCGTCGAAGCCAAATACGAATATCCAATTTATAAAAAAATATGCAACTGCTGACATTTTTATGTATTAGGTGTACCGGTATGAAATGAGCGTTTTTTGGTGAAAATAAAACACTAATTATTAATAGGAAAGTAAAAAACATTTTATTCAAAGTATTTGTGGATACCACGTCAAAAAAATTGTTCGTCTTTTAAAGCAAACCAACCAGACACCCAATTTTCGACCTCCTCGTAGGAATCAAAGTGCTGCTCAGTTAATGCGTGTCCCATCGATGAAAACAAATGGTAGTCGGAAGGAGACAAGTCTGGTGAATACGGCGGGTGGGGTAGCAGCTCCCAGCCAAGTGTTTTGATTGCATTCTGAACCCGTTTTGCTTTGTGTGCAGGTGCATTGTCATGGAGCAGAATTACCTTGCGTGTCTTCTGGCCCATTCTGGTCGTTTCTCGATCAATGCATGGTTCAAGTTTATCATTTGTTGTTCATAGCGACCACCATTGACGGTTTCACCAGGTTTTAGGAGCTCGTGGTACACCACACCTTTCTGGTCCCACCAAACACACAGCATTGTCTCTTGCCGAATCGATCTGGTTTTGCAGTGGATGTTGATGGTTGTCCCGGATTAACCCATGATTTTTTCCGTTTAGGATTCTTAAAATAAATCCATTTTTCATCGCCAGTAACAATCCGATGCAAAACCGATTTTATTTCGTGTCTTTGAAGCATTTGCTTTTGACCCAAAGTGTCATCTCCATCCAATATCGTTTACAATTCGGCGTCTTCAAACTTTTTTGGCGGTCTTCCACGTTCTTCATTTCTCACATCAAAATCATTATTTCTGAACCGTTGAAACCATCTTTTGCATGTTGCTTCTGATAGAGCATGATCACCATATGCCTCGACAAGCATTCGATGCGAATCTGCACCACTTTTCTTCAAATGAAAACAAAAAATTAATGCTTTCTGCAAATCATCACTTTCTGGTACAAAATTCAACACGATGAAAAAATATGATGTTGTCTGTTCAATGACTTGATGTATACTAAATATATTTCACACATGTCATAGCAAACAAACAAAAAAAAAAGGCTCGTTCACAACAAATGTTCCCTGTCGGAACATTTGTATCTTTACGCTCACTTCATACCGGTACACCTGGTAACAACCTGGTGGAGTGGTGGATTGTGGTGGTGGATTGATAGTGTTCTTGATATGTAGATAAAAAACCCTTTTCAGTACTTTCAAACAGGAGGAACACAGTTGTTAGGCCTTGGGAATAGAATATTCAGCTTTCCTTACTTCAGAAACGAATGCTACTCGAACACCTCTTCAAAAGTGAGTGTTTATTTTGTCAAAATACTTATGCCGACTAGTGAGCGTTAACATCAGCTCCGATAATGACCAGAATCCTTTTGTTGTTAGCCTCTGTTACTAGAAGCTTAATGGGTAATGAGACGCCGTAATCGTGCGTCATGTATATTGAGTCAATCCAAAAAGTCTTGGTGTCGTATTATATAACCATAACCATGCTGCCGTCACTAAACTTATGGAGCATTAATGTTAGATTCTGTTAAGTTGTACCGGCGAGCCGAGGGCTCCACTGAGGTGTATAGACTCATTGCGTCACCGTATAAAAAACTCAGACATTTAAAACCACCTTGAACCTTTGGCAAACCTTATAATGCTATTTAAGGGAAGGTTTTGCAGTTAACTAAGAACCTCAAAAACAGAGGGTATAATTGAAAGAGAGATTCAATCTTTTAGGATGGATAAAGCAGCTTACTGTCCGATGGTATATATATATATTGCTATTAAGTATATCATCTACTTCCAGACAAGCTATAGCTTCCCTAGTAGCCATCACTTCCGCCTGAAAAACACTGTATTGGAAGCTTCTGGAAGCCTTCAGTAAGAAGCTATTTTTAACTCTTCTAAGAAAACCCCCACTGTTTTTGATATTAAAATTGTTAAACTGTAATTACTAAATAAAATTTAGTGACATCTTCAGAAGTGGAATTAGAAATCCGCGTACACTGCGAAAAGTGTACCAATAAAAGTTGCATACGTTTAAAAAACAAAAAAATACATTACGCAAAATTGAGACTCCTCGGGGTAATTGTTTTGTGCTGTCGTTCGTAGTAAGAGTCAGTCTTTTTGAAAGTGTTCGTGACGTGTCGTAGAACCAAATATTGTGTCATCTCACTCGCACTTGAGGCGTACAAAATTGAAAACGTTTTAGTGGACACATACATTTTGTGTTTCGCTTTGAAAATCAGATGCACGTGTATGAAATTAGCGATCGTTTCATATAAAGCAATTTTTTTCATATTCGATTTTAAAACCCGCATACGTATTGACGTAGTAAAAAAAATAAAACGTTATAATAGTTAAAGCGTCAAGGAACTACAACAAAATGCATTTTTATAAATTCACGTTAAACGAGTTACAACAAAAATGCAAAGATGCTGGTGTAAGCATAAAGGGAAAACAGAAAGATCTAATCAAACAGTTGGAAGAAATAGAAAATGATGATGAGTACGAGACAGTGAATGATACTTCAACACAAAGAATTAATGTGTTAGAAAAATACATTGCACAAATGCAAAAGCTACAAGAGGTTAAAAATCAAAATATAATTACAACAATTCAAATGTTTCAACCGCCGGTAATGTCGTCACCAATAGGTAACTACATGACCACGTCAAACGTGATACCAGTCTGCTCAACTGTTTTAAATTCACCAATAATGTGTCCGGAAATGCAGACAAGCGTAAACAATAATATATTGACCTCGCGATTTATTGCAAGTAATAACTGTGCCGTTATGAGTGTTCCGTATACGTCTATATCGCAATAATATCCAACGATTTCTTATGTCCACGCTAATCCTCTTGGACCAACAAGACTACAGACATTTCAGATATCAGCTCCGATATAGCAATCGCCCTTGCCAAATGCGACTAACAATTGTCCAGTTTTCGGCAGAAATGAAAATTTTTTACAAACATCAACAACGCGCTCGATCTCGCAACCTGCAACAAATTTTGCTTACAATATGTCAACAGTAAATCACATGGATTCACAACACGGAAAACATGATATTGCGTCTCAATATATTCCTGTTGTTTCCCCATTGCAATGCCAAAGTCAATTGTAAATGTGTGTGATTTAATCACTCTTTTGCCGAATTTAACCCATCATCGGATTAATCGAGCTCCTCAAAACAATTCAACAAGCGGATAGAAAGCTTACGTGGCGCATATAAATGGAACGATCAAGTTTTACTGTTGCAGTCTAGCAAAAGTTGCATGGTTATGCAAAATTCTAGTTGAATGCATAAGAAATATTTTTAACATGGCCACAGTTTGTTGCGAAGTTTTCTGCTGATTTTCCTTCCAATGAAAATATTGCTGATGTTCATCTTGAAATGGCGCATACCAAACGATAAGGTAACGAAACTCCGCAGGAATATTTGTATAAAATGGTATCTATAGGCACTAGACATGGAATACCCGAATCAGCAATAGCAGGATATATAATAATGGGAATAAATGACCCGGACTTGAGAAAAAAAATTTCAAATGATTATGTCTCATACAACGATCTGTTTAGAGATATAAATAATTATACATTAGATGAAGTTAAAATTTTTCCGCCCCAAGCGAAGAATAAATTTTCATCATATACCGCTTGCAACGCTGAGACCAAAAATGTAACATACAAAAAAAGTTTTAAAACGAACAATAAGAAGAATGTTAACTGCTCAAAGGTTGGTCATTACTCGTCGGAGTGTCCAGAACAACAACGAAAAGAACGCTGTGCCAATTGCAATCGCGCCACACATAAAACTGAAAACTGTCCCGATAAAAAAATATCCAAACCTAATCCGACAATGTATAAAATTAGTGAACAATCTTATAATAAAAATAAAGACAATGTAACAAAACAAATTAAAGTAAACAATTTCGATGTAAAATCGTGTATAGATTTAGGTAGTGGTCACACACTCGTACGCGAATCTTTTGCTAAAAACTTTGAAAACCACACGAATTGCCCTGTACCATATCTCTTACAGGATTTGCAGGTGATAAATATGAATGTTTTTCTAAAATACATGCGATCGTTGAAGTGGACCTAAATAAATTCAGTGCGGATGTGCTGATTGTTGAAGATGATCTTATACCGGAAGACATACTTCTGGGTAGAAACTTATTGTGCCATGAAGGAAACCCTGTTATTATAGAAGGTGCTCGATGCCAAATAAAAAACTCACAAGTTACTGCTGATATGAACAAATCTGAAACCGAAAACTAAAAAGTCTTTTATCAGAATATAGTACCATATTCGTCTACGGCTGAAATAGTGCAAACGCAAGGAACGGAAATAATGCAAACACTAACTCAATTTGAAAATAACGACAATGTTATTGTAGATAATACAGAATCACATACGGAAACTATATCAAATGAGATAAACGAAGTACCCGAAGTAAAAAATTTGCCCAAGACGCGGATATGGAAGATGTAGAAGAATCAATTAGGAACTGAAATTGAAATGGAGAAAAATACTAGCACAACAGTTTTGCTGAATGTCATAAGTAGTATACCAGCAGTTGATTTACGTGAAACTCTGACACAAGACTCTCCACGGATTATACATATACCAAAAATCAGAATCCCAATGAAAAACATGAAATCAACAGGAAACTCTAAACGAGCAAAAAGAAATTGCAAAAACCGCCGAAAGAGTGGCAACTGAGTTAACTGATGAGCCAGAAGATATTGCAAGGGAATCAAGAAATTTGATCATCGCTGATAAAGATATTAGTGACATTAACGAGGAAGTGTTACCCGAAGTGACGCAGATGCTGTTAAGGAAGAAGCAGATATAACAGAGGAACAAGTAAATGAGCAGAAACCAAGTATAGATATTACAGAGGTCGAACCGGCTGGGTTTGAAATGAAAGTAACAGCAAGTAAAGACGACTGGCTGTTCACGATGCAGCTTCAAGATAAGTCACTTGTAGAAATTATCGAAGTTTTAAAGGGTGATAAATCAGCCATCCAGACAACGCAATTGAAAAACGATTACCAACATCAGAAAATTCGTCGTACCTAAAGCATTACGATGGAGAGTAGTGCAGGCATATATGGATATGGAACATTTCGCAACCGATAAGACGATAGAAAAACCGGTTGTATATGAAGAAGGTGATCTCGTCGTCATCGAAAACGAGTCCGCAGCCACTGGCGAATACAGGAAACTTCGTGAAAGCGTCGTGACGTTGCTGTCGTAAGCTGATGATTCCCCAACCGAATCCGTTGAGGATCGAATGGAATTTGTTTCTTAGCAATAACCTTGAGATGGCATTGCGATATAGATCAACAAAACTTTGATCCGTGCAGGCGAATAGTTTTACATGGCCCTGAAACCATTCACTATTGCGACATATGGCATCCTCACCGGGAAAGTTCTTAAGACGATGACATAAACCACCGATCTACAACTTAAGTTTAATCACTTCTCATGTCTAATAGTGTTTGCATATTTTTACTACCGCCAGAAAACGCGGCAGCCGTCTTATTAGGACATATAGTGTCCGAAAGATTAGATCTCAGTGAAAACGAGTTTCCCGTTTTATTTGTTTTTAATATTTTTTGATTGCTTCATATTTCAAACCCACGAGTTGCGGAGAAGAGAAAGAAAACAACTAGATCCAGATTATGTTAAGAAGGGTGTGATATAGTATCAGGCTATTTTACTATAAAACAGGATGTTGATGGTCAACGAATACCGTGTGGTACCCGTTTTTATGCAGTGTACAAATCCAGTTATTAAAAACCCAAGGTTCTTGTACTAACACGATCTCCTCTTCTTTTCCAGTCAGAAGAATATGGGTTGCCGAGTCATTTTTAGAAAGTTTATGTGCACCCTCAATAAAGTCAGTATTTTCGATGACGTTGTTATTCGCATTATCGTCGTCCTACATTGGTAAGACTTCAAGGTAAAACACCATTCCATTGAAAAGTTCGTCAACCAGTTCGAAAAACTGATTAAAATTGATGTCTTCGATGGAAATTTGGATAAGATGGGTTTCGTATTATCGAAATTGTTCGGATCAGTGATAGGCATAGCTTCGTTATTGAAAGCTTGTTTGAAAGTGACGACCCTTGAGGATTGTTTTTTAACGACTTGGGTATTGATCGACCCGAAACCGTAGTAGATCACGCCTTAATATCATTTGGGGTCAGTGATATTTGCCACCTTACACTCATGAGTCGGTAGGTCTGTGTTGTTCGCCTTAAGGATGTCTAAAATTGCAGATGGCAGAGATGGCTTCAAAGGTAGCCAGACTTTGGAGCTAGAACGATGAGGAATTTTGTCTACTGAAACAGCTTTAACCTGTGCGTCAGGGTAGACTGTCTTGACTTTTTCGATTATTATTCATATAGACCTTAAAGAGGACCAGCCCAACCACGTTCCAGTTAGCCGTTACTGTCACCAGAATCATTAATGGGTCAGGTCAGGCTTTCTTTTATGACCTCGGTTTGAAAGTATATGGTCTGGAGGTTCCCAGTTTGAGTCGTATTAAAATCGTTTTAAAGACGTAAAAATATAAAATATTCTCACGGTCAGAGTAATATAAATATATGACTTATTTTTATCTAATAGCGGTTCCTTACATCCTGCATAAACAACTTTTCTCAAACAGTAAATGAGATTTTATTCTCATTTTTAATTCTACTTGACTTTTACTGGAAAACAGACGTATAATAATCAGTTGCAACTTTATTTTTGTGGTTACTTTTTTTTAAAGATTGTTTTTTTATAAATAAAACATTGAAATTTTTTATTATATTTCATTATATAATTCATGGACTTAATTATAAATTATAAATTATAAATGTTTTTTAGGTTCCCATTTAATTTCTGTAAAAGAAAATTTAATTGATATAATTTGGTCAACGGATCAACCTGAGAGAACATCCAACGAAGTGGTGCCGTTAGGTATCTCATATGCGGGAGAAACTATTTTAGACAAATGGAAGAAAATTAAACAAGAAATGATAAATAAAAAAACAAAAATACTAGTTGTGAGCGCTTTGGATGAAATTGCATGTAGGATACTACATATTAAATTTTTAATGACTTATCAATAAAATTATATTCTAGGGTTTTTAAATTTACGAGGTTCGGACATAGAATATAATCCTGTATTTTTTGCATATCTTATAATTACAAATGAAAAATTAATACTATTTATTGAGGTTTCAAAACTTTCGAAAAATTTTCATTCACATTTAAAGGAAAATAATGTTGAAATCGATATAGAACCTTACGAAGCTATTGGAGAACATTTAGAACGACTTGTAAGTATTTTTTAAGTATCTTATAATATTATATTTGTTGCACTGACCTTGATTCTGAACTAATATATCAAGAATATACCTACCTATTACTTATAATTGGCCGCTCTAAAGTGCGACAAAAACAACAAAGTCTCTAGTTTGTACGTAGAACAACAACATAGTCTAACAGACTAGTTATTAATTGTCTAATCACTGTTTTTAATAGACTGCATGAAAAAAAACGTTACCAAAGCGAAATGTTACCTTAATGTGAAATTTTAATTTTTTAATTAATATTTAAATTTATACAAAATCTAGTTTGCTTTATAAATTTTAAGCCACTACATAATTCTTCTTATTGTGAAACATAATACTTGATAGATTGCTACAATGACGCCAATATGTCTGCAAGAGACTTGTTGTTTTTTGTTGCAGTTTCAAACGGCGGAACGCAACTATTGTAAGCTTAGGTTTACATGTAGGTTTTTAACCATCTAACGAATACATCTATTATTACACAATAGGTGTGTTCCACAAACTACTCGTAGTAACTTTGAGTAACATGTATATACACAAGTGCGTTCCATTAGCAAATTTTCGTGTAAATTTTACTTGTGTTTTACTTGAGTTTTACTACGAGTAGCTCGTGAAACAGGCCTAATATGTGGTGTTTTTATTTTAACTGCATGAGAACTATCGATATAGATAACTATGGTTTGACAGCGGAGAATATCAAACTGTGTTGACATTTTTGTTCAGTACGGTTTGGCAATTCATCATTTATCAATTAATACTAGAACAACGCTTCCAAATTGTGAAAATTTATTTAAAAAAAATAAATTTGTTCGCGAAGTTCATGGAGCGCATAGTGTTTAGTGATGAAGCTAATTTCTGGCTACGTCAATTAGCAAAATTGCCGTATGTAAAGCGAAGATGATCCTCAAGTCGTTAATAAATCACCATTACATATATTAAAATTGACTGTTTGCTACCGTTTACACGCTGGCGGCATTATCGGTCCTTATTTCGAAATGAGGATCGAACTACCGTTACGGTGAATGGCGAGCGCTATCGAGCCATACTGACTCTGTTGAATTTTTGTTTCCAATTTTGTCCTGTTAATTGGCCCTTTCGGTAGAGCGATTTAACGTCTCTTGATTACTTTTTATGGGGCTATGTTAAATCATTTGTTTATGCCGACAAACTAGCAACTCTTGAAGCATTTGAAGCCAATGTCCATGGCTTAAATGTGGACGTCATACGTCCACATTTTTGTCTTTTGTCATTTTAAGTTGTCATGCAGCTAAAAAAAACCCGAAGATTTTTAGAATTTAAAATGTTTGTTTATATTTTAACAGGTAAACTAGGGAATATGAGAATAAAAAACACTGCTTATAAATTTTAATGCTTTTCAGAATATGTACGCAATATAGGTCCAGAATAAATTGATACGTGTTCGAAAAATGAAAAACATTAATTTTAAGGAATATTTTATTGACTCAAAGAGTCAGGAGTGTTCTTATTTTTTTTTATATACTGCTTTAAGTACGTAATGAAAAACATAACACCGAAAGTTCTCCGATTCGCCTTCTGTGAACGCTTTTTTGGTGGAGGCAGCAACTTTACATATATTTGAGTTAGCAATTTTACAACCACAAATGTCAGATCATACTTCTATAGTGTAATTATTTGTAAAATAAATTTAAAAAATATGTACAATTGTTCTAACATTTAAAAAACAACAAATCTTAACAAAATTTAAGAACTCAACCGTAAACGACAAACTATGGATATCGCCGACTTCAAGCTACTATCTAACGGAACTTATAACAAAGTTTAAGCGGCATCAAGAGGTATAGCTTTATTCATTTTAAAATACTTCAAATATTATTGTATCATATAATATATAATTTAGGTTACTCCACTTGCTATCAATAAAGCTGTTAAAAATGCCACTGAAGTAAAAGGATTTATTGACTGTCACATTCGCGACGGCATAGCATTATGTCAATATTTTGCTTGGTTAGAGCAAAAGGTTTGTAAGGGTGAACATGTTGATGAAATTTCAGGAGCGAAAAAACTAGAAGATATTCGTTCGTAAGATGCAAATCATAAAAACACAAACATAGTGATTATATGTAAACTTTTAGGAATAAAGAGAATTATGTTGGATTAAGTTTCTCCACTATAAGTGCATTCGGTAAAAATGGATCTGTTATACATTATCACCCAGCTGAAGAAACAAATCTTCCGATAACAGACAAAGAAATTTATTTGTGCGATTCAGGCGCTCAGTATAAGTATGAAAAATATTTTTTAGTATACGTATATGCAAAAATTTATTTAAAGTAAATAAATTTGTAATAGTTAGAAACTAATTATTATAAACTTAATATATTATACTTAAAGTTGATGAAGAAGTATTTAATTAATTAATAACACATTGTGTTAGCTGATATAGCTTTAATTTTTTTTTTATTTTTAATGCTATTTATTAAATTTGAGAAGTGGTGAAAATTTGTCTAGATCCATCCATTTGAATTTATATAATTTAACAAATCTTGTGTTCTTACTGATGAGCAGTGTGACAGACTGATGAGCAACTAGGTATTTGACTTTTTTTGATAATGTTAACTATTGTCTATTTAATAAGTTACTCTGGAAAATCGGTATTTCTTCAATTCAGTCTTTTTTTTGCACCACTAACACCCACTATTGTAGTGAAATTAGCCCGTTTTCTAACGTGTCTAGTTACCGGTGTAATAGTATACTGAATAACCCTTTTTTTTAGCAGAATGACAATCCATTTTATGAGTTTTTTATTCTACACGGATTCTAGCTAGTTTTGGATAGCTTTCGTGTTAAGATAATTGAAAGCCTATTGATGGAATGTCGCTAGTGAGAATTGTTTAAAATATTTTCTACAATACGAACGATCTTATTGAACATTCCACAATTGATCTTTAGTAAAGCTCTTGCACCTTTTTCATTGTCTTAAGTAAAAACGATGCTAGTTTATTTAGCCTAAAATCTTTGGCTGATTTATGATTAGTTTTCCCTTACTTTCTCAAATGAAGTGGTACATACCTAAATCGAATTTAAACTATATATATTTTTCTGAAACATGGAATTATTAGGCCCTGTAATTATTATAGTATGATAGAGAAAATACCGTTGCAATTAGAAAATTTGTACGGTGAAAAATTGTTGAGAAACTATTTTCAGTTTTTCACAGTAATTGTGTGCCATTCATTTTTGAACACAGTCTCTCAGGACAGTGGATTACTGGTTTTATCTAGTTTTACTCTCTAGATATGTCACATCAGTTTTAAGTAGAGCACATTGAAGAGAATTTAATTCTTCACTAAGTATGAATGGTCTTGCCTCCACGAAAATTAAAGATATTGATCAACTGTTACCAATGAAGGTCATTCATCACATGGACAAGGATAGAACAACATCTGAAAGTATATATTTAATCGAATATTTCTCTATAGATTGTTTGACAAATTCTAAGTAAATTATTTTATTTATTTCAAAATCGGAAATTCTAAATTTATAGCTGCAACACAAACTATTTTAAAGATATTTTTTGATATATAGAATAGTTTCGTTTTGTGTACAATCCACTATTTAATAATAATCTAAGTATTTATATATTTATTTTAATTTTTTAAAATATATTGAAATGTTTTTTTTAAAGAGATGGAACAACTGACGTTACACGAACATTTCATTTTGGAAAACCTACAGAGTTTCAAAAAGAAACATATACCCGCGTTCTTAAAGGTCAATTATCATTCGGAGCAACAATTTTCCCAGCAAAAGTAAAGGTACTAAATTTGAATATTTGTGTAATATGAATAATGTATATTGTAGTAATAAGCGTGGTATTTTAGTAATTCAATACCTCTCTTCAAAGACACTTCATGACTCTTCAAAGAGTCGTGTTACGCTCTTTTTGGACGTAAATAAAAGTCATCATACTTATTACAATTGTCTATTTCGTACTTTTACTATTATTTTAGTACGTTTTAGTACGCGACACTGTTTTGGTTGTCATAACGGTGCAGAGAAAGTCTTCACACCAAATTTTAATCAAAATTTCACAACAATTTCACATTTAACGTGATCATTATAGCCTCCATAACATGGCACTAATAATTAAAATATAATGAAATAAATATAGAAGAAAAAAATAATAGCAACATAATATTTAGATTTGATATTGATTTCATATTGAATATTGGTAAATTTGTACTTTTTAAATATAATCTTGAAGACAGCTAGTTGGGATTTGTCATATTTCTTACAATATAATAAAATAGAAAATAACAGTAATTTCATTTTATTTTGAAATATTTTATTTATAGGGTCAAGTACTTGATACTATTGCCAGAAAATCACTTTGGGATGTTGGTCTTGATTACGGCCATGGTACGGGACATGGTGTTGGCTATTATCTTAATGTGCACGAGGGTCCGATAGGAGTAGGAATTCGTATTATGCCGGACGATCCCGGATTACAAGAAAATATGTTTATTTCAAATGGTTCATTATTATTAAATATGTATATAGGATCATTTTTTGTTATTAATTTTATAATTGTATTCATAGAACCTGGTTACTACCACGAAGGTGAATTTGGAATTCGAATTGAAGATATTGTGCAAATTGTACCTGGCGCATCAAAATACAATTTTGGAAACCGTGGTGCGCTATCATTCAAAACAATAACTATGTGCCCGAAGCAACTCAATTTAATTAAAAAGGAATTGCTTACCGATACTGAGGTTTGTAGTGATCGGATTTTAATATTATTATTATTTCTAAAACGTCAAACATATTTTCGGCGTTAAAATGAAAGAACTAAAAAAAAAATTATTAGTATAACAATCTATACAAAATGATAATAAAATTTATTTAACGACTTTTTCGATGAGCAGCCGCCTACCTGTGGAGGTGCATTCTTTTTGATAAAATAACCAGAACAAAAACAAAAACAACATATAGAATAAATACCCTTCTTAAATAGAAAAATTTAGCTACTTGATTCAAGAGCTACGTAAAAATATTCGTCTTATTGTGCGATGGTGACGGATCATTGTCAGCACAGAAAACTGTGCGACGATATTTAATATTTTCGTTAATGCCGCATTGCCGCAGTTTTAGTAAAGATATTTAAAATGCTTTACCTCTGATTTGTATATTAGTAAATCATAAATTATCTTTGTATTACGCATTGTTACTTGTGGAATCCTCCTTCGGCTACGCTTACGTATGATGACCAGTTTCATCAACACTAATCAATATGATATTGCGCAATATAAGTTCATTAACCATTACTGCTATTTATATTTGATTTTAATTTAAAGAATATCATTGTTAGTTCTTCGTGTATTTTGAACGTCAGATTTTCTTTACAATGTGATTGTCAATATCATGCGTGTTTCAAAATTGTGAAGTATAAGATCTATGTATATAGTCTTGGATTAAAATTTTAATAATATAGTATATAAAAAATATAAAAAAAATTATTAGTATAAAAGTAGAGTTATTAAATGTATATTGTTTTCTTTTTATACAGATAAAGATTCTAAATGCCTACCACTTGAACGTATGGGAAACTCTGTCACCAATTCTTAAGAATGAAGGCGATTTGTTAACACTTTCTTGGCTCAAAAAAGAAACACAACCTATATAATATTCATCTATTGTAATTTTAATAAAAACAAGTTGTAATATATCTTTTTTGTATTTGTAAATGTATTTTGAAACTTTTTGAATGCATAATATGAAATATTAAATACATTTTTCTGTTTTAATATAGTTAATGTTTTAAATTTTTTATTAAACATTTTTTACCAACCCAAATTATTGCGAACATCAATGAATGTTTTACTGTTTTCAGAATAGAATTGTGAATACCAGTTACGAAATGCTTTAATGGAGGAATCTTCCTTAACCAAATGCGGCTTATTGCGGAAGATTTTGTGGTTCCACATGACCATATCCCGTTCAAACTATATAAGTAAGAGTGTTATTAGTTTATTTGTATTTAATAAATTCTTTATTTACCATAATACTTTCTGCACAAACAAAGAGTTTCATAATGGGCGCTATTTTTCTACGTGCATAAAATCTGTGAACCACTTTTTGTACAAGTGGTTCTATTGGAGTAACGGTCTGTAAAATTTCAATATTTCCGAAAGTCTTTGATTTCAAATGTAATTGAACGTAAGATGGGCCAATCTGAAAAATTAGATCCGTAAAAATTGTAGACATTTTGAGAAAACAGAAATTTAATTTTATTACCTGATGACCTATAACATCCATTTCAAAAATATGGACTTTAGGAATTAATTCAAGTGAATGTGTTAACGATATGAGTGCTATATGTTTTGCAGTTGATTTAGAACTCGTCCATCTAAATTAAATTTGTTTTAAATACATATTTAAAGTTCTGATTAAAAATTATAATTAGAAATTCTTTTTTTTTTTTATTACAAGTGTAACTAATTGTAGGTGTCTTTTTAGTAGTATTAATTAACCTTTAATAATAATTTAATTTTAACAGAACAAACAATTTTTTTCATTTATTTTGGAACCATTGTTTAATTTTTTTTAACAATAAAATAATTATAGGTAATATTATTGTATTTAATATTTAATAAATATTGAAATTATATTTTTTATTGAACTGCTTCACGATTTCGAATATCAATTTAAAACTTCTTACAGGTCAAAAATGTTTCGAAAAATACCTGCACCTATTTCATATGTCAGATAATCCATATTGTCAATTCTGTCTAAAATTTATTGCAACCTCAGACTAGCTGTATATCAATAACAAGAACTTAATTCCCTCCAATGTCACTCACATTAATGTCAATAAGCTTTAAAACCTACCTTGTTACTTGTTAATTATTTCAACAATTTAAAATATTGTTACCAACTTACGTTGCTTTCCAGTGGTGAGTTCCTGTTTTTGCGAAATTACTTTTGTTGGCATTGATTCCACCTGCTAAAAAGTTTACATTGTGAATAGCTGCAAAATGGGCCATATCTGCACCATTTTCAGGAATTTCTTGAATATGACAATTTACATAAAATTCATTACGTCCTAAGAACACTAATTCTTTATTTTCAATCTCTTCAACAACCGGCAATTCCCATGGAATATTGTGTTCTTCTGAATGATACCATATAAATATGTTATCATTCACTTCTTTTGTCATCCATTTGCGAACTCGAGAATTATCTGGAACTAATAATTATATACATTTTATTATTCGAATCGATATAATATAACTTTTTAAAAGTTATCAATTAGCCAAGAAGTTGACATTCATCAATTTAATGAATGTCAATCAATACATTATTGCTTGATTGTTACTGTTTTTCACAACGTTATGATGTGTCCTTACAAATACTTTATTTTATTTCAACGATTCAAGTATTCATACTGAAAAATTTTAATTATTACGTACCACATGAGCTATATGGAATATTAACGCATTTCCCGTCACTTCCTCGGAAACTCCACTGATGAAATGGACATTCAATATTATCACCTACAACACGCCCTCCAATACCCATATTGACACCCATATGGGGACAATAAGCATCTAAAACATATACTTCATGACTTTTTGTACGATAAACGACAAATTGTTCCCCCAAACATGATACGCTTTGAACTTCTCCAGGGCCAAGAGCAGATGACTCTAAGATACAATACCAACCATTAGGAAATGGTGGAGGTAGATCTGAAGCACCAATTTTACGAAAACGACGCATACGATTGATATAATCCTTTTTATATGTAGCTGAATAATTGTTGGAGTTGCTACTAGGTAGATCATAACCTACTGTGTTGATTTCCTAAAAATATATTATGCTGTTAAAGATAAAATAAAATAAAATAAAGATAAAATGAAATATAATATTATATAACATAATATACATTATATATACATAATATAATATAATATATAATATAATATAATATAATATAATAAATATAATATAATATAATATAATATAATATAATATAATATAATATAATATAATATAATATAATATAATATAATATAATATAATATATATAATAATAATATAATAATATATATAATAATAATATAATATAATATATAATATAATATAATATTAATATAATATAATATAATATAATATATATAATATAATATATATAATATAATATATATAATATAATATATATAATATAATATATATAATATAATATATAATAATATAATATAATATAATATAATATATAATATAAAATAATATAATATAATATAATAATAATATAATATAAATATAATATAATATAAATAATAATAAATAAATATAATTAAATAATATAATTATCATATATAATATAATATATATAATATAATATATAAATATAATATAATATAATATAATATAATATAATATAATATAATATAATATAATATAATATAATATAATATAATATAATATAATATAATATAATATAAAACAAAATAAAATCATATTATTTAAAGTAAAATGAAATATAACGGACACAATGTATTTTATAATTATGTGTAATTATGTGATATCAAAACTTATTAGATTAGTCAATTTGTTAACTTACTTCTACTTACCTTTACCCAATTGCTAGGGACATAATACATCCAGTGAATGATTTTGGCAACTAATAATGTAACAACTGCCAATGTAATTTGAACAAATATATTTTCGAATACTGCTATTTTATGTGTTATCGGCTCCATATTTAACAGTACACCTAACTGTTCAGATCGGTACCTACTGCAATTATAAATAATTCTTTTAAAGCATATCAAACAGTATTATATATATATTTTATTTATCAATTTAAATGTGTATGACAAGTGGCAAAATATTAGTGTGGATGTTTTAGAAATTTAAAAATTGAAATTGAAATTTAAAAACTTGAGAGTAATCTATCTATTTCAGCTCTTACTAAACACAATGCAATCAAAATTAGTTTAGAAAACTTTTTCTTAACAAACAAAATTTCTGTATCGGTTAAGTTTACGACGTGTGTTACTCAAATTCCATAATATAATCTTCTTAGTTGTTAATTCTTCTAAAAATGACTAAATCTTCAACAACAGTGCCTCATATATACACACTAACAGGCTTACCAATACATACATCACAAAATATACATCACATTTAAAGCACAAATTCAGATCAATTTTTATAAAAATAGTTTAAATTCAACGGTATAAATTATTTTTAACTGAAAGTGAGCTCTTATTTTACGTAAACGCATACAGTAATAAATTTAAACGTTCCTGATCTGATGTACGTATCTGTTGAGAAAAACTGAATAATTTGATAAAGGTGAGTCTTAAAAATTTAAATTGTTAATTTGGGCTTTTAAATTGTATTTGTAACTAAAATGGAAAACAATACAGAAAAAGATAAAAAATTTTCAAAAAAAAGACAATAAATTTTATCAAAAAATTTTACAATAACTTAATCGAAACAGTTGGTTTAAAGCGAATACACAATTAAAACTTGAATATTATATTATTCAATTAAATAGTTGAAAATTTTAGATGAAGCTTAGTAAAATATCAAAAAATATTTTAAATATAAAATATCACGTAAACGTCGTCCGGACACCATATTTGCTTAAACCCGTATAAAAGCACAATTTCAGTTTCTCACCTCTTTCCGATGGGATAATATAATGTACTGCAGATTTGAAAATGCCCCGCATGCAGGAATTTACTATGTTCCTGCAGTATACATATAAGTAGGAACTTATAACATATATTAGAAACTTTAAAAATATAATTTATTACTTTTAATAGCATACATATTTTCTTGATGAAATCAATTAAGTTTCTAAGGTTCATGTCTGCGAACCTTGTAGGATCTACAATCGTATATTGCTGCGTTCTTTAACTATATTATTTCTTGAATCTATATTATATAAAACTAAAATAATTATTCAAGTCTAAATAACAACAATTAATTAATTGCAATATTAACATAACCATATTAGTATCATATTTTTTTTTTTTGTGAGGAGGAGGTGCAAAGCTGTCTGCACCATCAGACCCACCGTCGTCGGAATGGTGCGGTCGACGACTTAGTCTCTCCCTTTTTGGAGATACTTATTAATCCTAGGAACCTAGAATCCTAGTCTATTTTATGTTGGCATTTCAAGCCTTTTATGGTTTGCCCCCAAACCTTTACTTTTTTAGCACATTTTCTTGCTTTTTGAACTATTTATTTGCCTAATTTCTACTTCTCTTTTCTAGGTCTAATTTGTTCGCTTTGAGCACTTGAATCATATATGACTCTAACGTTCGCCAATTCTCTGGGTTCACTCTCATCTTTTTCAATATATTTTCCGGATTTATTGGTTCAAACACTGCTATTATCTCTTCTCTAAATGCGAGCCACCTATTACAGTAAAAGAAGGTGTGCTCTGCGTTGTCACAGTCTCGTCGCCATAAATGCAATCAAGGAGAGCCGCGTTTCTCATGCAAAAATATTTATTCCCTGTTAGCATCTAAGTGAGATAATAATTTGTGTCTCTTGATTTTCGTTTGACCCAGATGATCATATTTGGCATCAGTCTGGCTGTCCACTTTCCTTGAGTGCTATTGTTTCATCTTTCTTGCCACATTTCGATGGTTTGCTTCCGATATTTTCTTCTCAATTGTTGAGTATAGTAGTCGGTCATTTTCTGGGTATATACCTTTCGATCAAAAAAGAACGAGAGGCCTATTCTTGAATTCTCGCGCTTATCCAATCGGTTCATTTTTTTTTTTCACGGTATCAGTAATAATTAAAGTTTATTTTCGCAATAATTTTTTAAACTTCAGTGACGTTTTCGTCTCTCCTGATCTCGTGGCTTGAAAACAGGGTATTTACAATTTCGTTCATTTTCCCTTCTCCTAGATCACTAGTAATTAGTATCGTAATAATATAACATTATTTAAGTTATTACCGTTTAAAATATTATTAAATATTTTGCTTCTTCTTCAACAAGTTTTAGTTGTATGTCGAGTAATTTTTTACTAAAAGGCCATAATTTATATTCAGTTTTTTATGAACCAACAATTTTTTGTGTTTATAACCTCATTTGGGTTCGTTTAGTCTAAATGTGTTTACGCCTGGTAAGTTTTCTGTCAAAGAAAATTTCTTGATAGGACATAGTATTCGCTTGTGCAATGGCATCATTAATGATGACTGAAGGTCACAAGTTTCTGCGTAAAGTAAATGTGACGTGCGTACTCTGCGTCCAGAACACTTCTCTGAAAATATACCTTAATTTTGTACATTAGGCTTTCGTGCTTTACGAATTTCGTTTGTATAGCTATTTATTTACTCTTTTGTTCAGTGTTTTGTTTGAAAGTCGAATTGGTGTTGTGGAATTATATTGTTTTAAATGAAATAAGGAGAAAGTTTGAAGAAAGTTTCCATAACCTGCTAGATTTCCCTAGTTTTAAATTTAAAAAGCTTAAATGGACCAGTTTGAAGTTAACAACGGTAGCTTAAAATATTGGTTGTTGGGTTCGAATAACAAAAAAACATTACTTAGATGACATGGGTCTAAAATGGATAAAGGCTTAGGAGACGGAATCTATTGCACGGACAAAGGGATTAGTAAATCCTATCACCTCCCGGACTCTACCTCAATGTTTCAGGTAGATGTTTTCGGTATACTGACAGTATGTTCCCTCACTAGGTATATGGACTTTGACAAAGAGGAAGTCTATATTCTTGCTGATAGTCAGGCAGCTATTAAAGCTACGTCAGCAGTCTGTATTTTGACTAAAATAGTGCTTGAATGTAGCCATGTATTAACGTACCTGGTGGCAGGACCAAGCTAACTGTAGTTTAGATTCCCAAAAATTCCAATATAGCAGAAAATTCACTCGCAGATGAACTAGCTAGACTGAATACCTCTTTTACGGAAGCTCATCTGCCAGGTGCAGTGGAAGGCTGATTTATGGCTCCAATGACTACATGCCCAATTTACTCTAAATATAGAACTTATGACGATACATAGAAATATGAAGATACATAGCAAATGAGAAGAATCTAGGTTAATATGTGTTTTAACGGGGCACTGGTCTATACTACCAGGACTTCCCTGTAGTATCTCCTATAGTACATATCTACCGGCACGGCACCAGAGCACCTGTTGTATGTATATTCAGGCTTATTCAGATGAGACTTAAGCTATTTCCAGCTTTAGCATTGGCCAGGCACTCGCATATATCAATGTTTCTGACAGATTTTAATATGACCATTCTTCCACCGTCTATTACGAGTAATTGTGGAATTAAAAAGGTTTTCTTAACTAATTAACGAGAATTTGTTCCTTCTTTCACTTCACCTAACCTAAAAGACATACAAATGCTCTTATAACACTTGATCAAACAAAGTATGACCACATGATATATTTACTTTTTATAACATAGAGCTGACACTATTACGTTTTACTATATTGTTGACATCATCCAAACACCGCCAGTAACCGGCAAATAGAAAACTATTAAGCATAGGCCCATCGAAGATTTTACCGACTCTGAAAATAAATAGTTGCGACGTCTTGTCCAAGAATGTGAGTAAAGCTGGTGTTACACATCAGACTTGGTCCTACAACTTGTCTAACGTCACTTGTTATTACACATCCGACATTATTTTGAATACGCCCCAGCAAAAAAACAACGAATATATTGCAAAATAAAATCATACTGTAACGACACACTTTCTGCCGCTGATGATGCTGAGGTATACTCAGCCGTCGTCCAGGGGTCGTTGCAATATAATTTATTTTATTCCAAATCAAAGACAATTTAGTATATGTGATAACTAATTTATTTATAATTTTAATTCAAAAAAAAAAGAAAAAGAAATGTTACAATGTAAATATTATGATGAATTGTGTTGGCCTCCTATGGAAACTTTCGGGGTTTGGCTAAATGATCTCGGCATTCTACAGCACTTTCGGACAGATGCCGCTCTACTTGGAATTCAAACTTAGATTTTATTTCGGATTACAGAACATCAACCTATTAGTCCAAATGTATAAGTTACCTTGACTTATTACACACTACTGGTTAAGACGTATGAACTACCTTGACGTTTATACGAAGCTACCAGCCAAGACGTATGAACTACCTTGACGTTTATACAAAACTACTAGTCAAGACGTATGAACTACCTTGACGTTTATACAAAACTACTAGTCAAGACGTATGAACTACTTGACGTTTATACAAAACTACTAGTCAAGACGTATGAACTACCTTGACGTTTATACAAAGCTACAAATTTCTAATTCCTTGTTTTCGCAAAGACGTATAACTAATTTCGAGAGTTTTCCAACAAGTGTCCCTGCTTGTACAATGCACGTTTATTTATACTCAAACGACCGAAGCTTTTCCTGTAGCGCATCTGTACATTTGCCGTTGGTATTTTTGATACTTGTTATCTTTTGCTGCTGTTTTTCGCCTGGGTGTGTTTTCGTGTGTTCTTGAATGCGCCGTGCTTTGTTTTTAGTTCAACCAAAGCTTTCATGCTTTGTTTTGTTCACAAACGTGTTTTTTTTATATAGTGCCGGTGTTTAATATTTATATTTATTAATTAAGATTTAAATAAATATTACAAATATTAAAATTATTAATATAAATAATAAATAAGGTGAGTGTATTATATTTATTTGTTTAAATATATTTTATATTCCTTACATTTTCAATGTAATATTAGGTTCATTTGGTGCAGTTACATACATGCGGGGGTGGGTTTATGGTGAGTTATTTAAGTTTTAAATTAACAATAAAAATTAACCAGTTTTCATTGCAGATATCAACTCCACACTAATTGTATGTAGGTTGGAAATTAGTTAAAATTTCCATCCTTACAATACTTGCATTAACCGATGTTTTCATTTCCATTCCTTGAAATATAATGAAATTTTGCATGTATACCGACAAAAATCTGATTGAAACTTGTGATCAAAAAATAACTTTAATTTTTAATTTTAGAATTTCCGCGCTTATCCAATCGGTAATTTTTTTTATTTTCACGCTGGCAACACTATTATACACATTCTGTCAAAA